TAATGATTTAGATGCGAAACTTCCGTTGTCCTTCCAGACGAGATTTTCAGCTGAGACTTCAAATTGGAGTGAACTTTAAGGAATCTAGTTTGATCGAGGATTGGTAACAGTTAAGGAGCTATTGAAAACCAGAAAGAAGTAGAAATCCGTTCCGTCCTGGTTTGGGACTCATCAACAGCACGCACCCACTTGGCATCGAAACCAGCAGCATTCAGCCACTGAGACCCAACTCAGTCGTCCATGAATTTTAACTTCTACCAATTGCTGATTTTAGCGCGACCCGCAACCAATGTCACTGGCAAGTATTTGTCCCGGACAGGTGGAACCCACTGGTCAAGATTTCTTAATAAAACACCAGGAAACTATGTCCTGTAGCCAGTCACTAGCGTGCATCGGATTAATTTTCATGAGTTTGTTTGCAGGCAATTGGTTTGTTTCAAGTTTGATAACGGATTGATTCTCCACAAATTCATGAGTCATTTGTACTTTCTGTCTGTTTTCAACATAAAACTTTGTACATATGTGAGGCAGTTCAAGTCGCCACACTCCATGTAGCACACAAAGCAAGAGAAGAAAGTAGAAGAAATGCATATTAGAGACAGTAAACAGAGGTGTGAGACAAAGGTATAGTAATAACCAAGAACAAGACAGTTTAACTGGAAATCATAAGTCACAAGGAGTGGATGCATCTGCGCCAGCCATTGAGAACGATTTTGAGCCATGTCACCAATTGTTTCCAACCATTGGTTTTTACCGTCCCGAGGACCCCAACCAGGAAGTCTACACCTTCCTACGTGGCTTAGACTACCTGTTGTAGATTTCATTGACTGGTGCCATGTTTTCGTTTGACCGCCGCTAGCTCTTTTCCAGCCTGACCCTATATCGGATAACATTGCCCGTCGAGGAAGGCGATGACTAAGCATACGTAGCACATGTCCTAACCATCTCAGTCGATGTAATTTCACAGTTTCGTCGATTGATTTCCCCTCCTTACCTAGCACTCGACGCCTAACCTCAATATTGCTCACCTTATTATACCACTTCACACGGGAGATAGAACGCAGACACCTATGATCGAAGACAGCTAATCTTTTCATGTACTTTTCATTTGTACTGGTTACCTTGAGAGTGACTGATTGTTTTCATGTATTTTCTCACCCTCTAGTCCACTTGTATTGGTAGTGATTGTTTCCTTGACCTGAAATTCGACCTTTTGTTCATGTGATTTCCTTTTTATGGATTATCTATATCACTGTGTCTGTTGATTGCCGAATCACTTGAACACCAACCAGCCTTGTGGAAATTTTTTTGCTCTTTTGGTTTATCCTCTGTCTAGGATTTGAACATTGTTCCGATAGAACTGACGTCCGTGGCTGCCTCTATGAATGAGTGGAAATCGCGTATTTTGACGGCCAGTTTATGTTCTTTTAACTGTACACATGCAACCGCGAACATCAATTCTATCGGAACAATGTTCAAATCCTAGACAGGGAATAAACCAAAAGAGCCAAAAAGTTTCCACAAGGCTGGTTGGTGTTCAAGTGATTCGGCAATCCACAGACACAGTGATATAGATAATCCATAAAAAGAAAATCACATGAACAAAAGGTAGAATTTCAGGTCAAGGAAACAATCACTACCAATACAAGTCATCAAAACAATTCACTAATAGATGTTATCAACAAGATGTCTGGTTTTTGAAGGAGTGGTGCAAATTAGTTGTGGAATTCAAGATAAGTTAATTCGTAGACGTTAGCAACAAGTTATTACATAACCAAGAAATTTGTAAAATAGCAGTGATGACTAGCAAGAATAGGATGACTCAGAAGAACTGTGTAAAAATACAAACAAGTTGATAAACTCTGCAAGAACTCCAGAAGATAATAAAGTCAAAAGATAGTTACAAGAGGAGGGGAAAAATCGTTTTTAACAACTTGATACGTGTTATGTAGTTGGCCAAGGCAAAGAAAGCGGCTGTATAAATTTCATCTGAACACACAGATTTGGCTTGTTCAGATGAGTTCCTATTGCCTCTGTTATATGTAAAAGTCGTACTCGTAAACCATGCGGTGAGAGGTTGAGTGATGATATATGATAGATGACTGTAAAAGCTTTGTTAGAGTCGACTTGATGTCCAGTCAGTATCGACAAGATGAGCGATTATTGAGCTGTGTATAGCTCTATTCGGACCTTTGTCAAACCAAGGCTGGAGGTGTTCAGAAATTCGACGAGGAACATGCCTGATAGCACACCCTATGTAAGTAGCTGTGCACGAGCAGTTGCACTTGTAAATACACATGAAATAGGCGAAACAGGGTAGTTTATCTTTATTGCTTGAACTAAGTATTGGTTGGCTAGTGAATATACAGCCTTGTAACTATCTTTTGACTTTATTATTTCTTGGAGTCTTTGCTGATTTTATCAACTTGTTTGTATTTTTACACAGTTCTTCTGAGTCATCCTATTCTTGCTAGTCATCACTGCTATTTTACAAATTTCTTGGTTATGTAGTAACTTGTTGCTAACGTCTACGAATTAACTTATCTTGAATTCCACAATTAATTTGCACCACTCCTTCAAAAACCAGACATCTTGTTGATAACATCTATTAGTGAATTGTTTTGATGACTTTTTTAACCTCTTAATTTCACCGCTCGCCCTATACTTAAAACTGATTAAAACTAAAATAACCAATTGATTGGTAAACAATTTTGATGCGAAAAACTGTACATTATTATGAAGCTGGTGATGAGAATTGAATGTAAGGGAATATATTCCTTCGCTCAGTTTTTGACTTTTCAATGAATTACGCGCAACGATCAATTTTTCGTTTTGGTAATATTTCGAGTAATAATTTTGCTTGAAATATTAACAAAACGAAAAACTTTCCATTGTTTGTAAAATACTGAAATATAATTATCACTGTTATTAATTCCATCGTCCTATTTTCTATTTTGTGTTGGATTCTACAGGAAAGGCAGACAACCTTGTGTATGTATCATGGCTTTTAACCCCGCAAGCTGAACGTTGACAAGTGAATAGTTCACCGCAACTATATACCGGAAGAGAGCAATTATCTAAAATGTCTGCACAAATCTAATCATAAAGTATTCGAAAATAGTCGATGATTAGTGAAACTATATATACAGTGGCTTTGTTAATTTCATTTGAAGTTTTAACGGGTGATAATTCTACGAAATTATTAGCCCACAGCATTCATTACTGAAAATTGGATGCTGACCTTGACTGTTTAAGTTGAATTGTTAAGTTGAAGGCTCGCAGTCAAGCATCCACGCCATTTCGCACAACTAATATGTTACCTCCGGTTGTTAGTACATGATCTATAGCTGGTTAAACAATCGTCGTCACATTACAATTTTGGTACCGAAATATACTTGGTAATTTGGACGATCAATTAGGGTTTTTTTCATTTATCTTCAGTCTACGCATAACAAATACTATAAGCGATGTGGGTATAAGTTCTTGCGTCAGCATAGGTCGTACTATCCGTGGACGTCAACACCCTTAACCTCAGGAAACTCTTTGTCATTTACTCTATAATGTCAGTGACCTCTATCACCAACTGCGTCACACAAATGACAAACACGCCATGAATGTTTAGGAAACTACATGCTCAAGCAAGCAATGAAGCTATTGAAAAGAGGTCAGTTCAGACAAAAACATAATAGAACACCACATCATAGACTTCCAACGGATTCATTGATCAACGAAAACAGTATCGTCGACCATTTGATCAGTTAACTGCACCTATATAAGACACTTAGGTGATACGCTTATAATTTGTAATGAAAAAATTAATTTAGACAATCTCCTCAAAATCTTCAACTGATCAGTTAATTTAACTGTACAACACTGTGTGATTTATCAAAATAAAATCTTATCCATTATGGAGCGCCTTTCTAAATGTTTGGAGATATTTCAAGCAGCCAATTTACGCACCACATTCTTCTGCAGATAGTTAATCCAGTCTAACGTTAAGGATAGGATACCGCCTCTGGCCACCTCAATGCATATTTGTCAGTTTACTTGTTCGTGTGCAGCAAAGTATATCGGCCGTATGCGACGTCAAGTTCATATACGTATTCGGGAAAACTGTCGAGTTTGGCTAGCAAGAGGAGAAAAGAATACCAGCGGCTCTATCCTCGAACACCTTGTCAACTCTGGATATCTAGCACATCCTCATGAATGTTGTTGCTGCTATATTTCGACTGAACTAGAGTACACGTATCTTCTAGTATTTCTTCGCGTTTATAATTGTGACCTAACGTTGCGATTACTCGACATCCGCAACGTAATACAAAAGGCACTTGCGAAGGAATACGATAGTGTATTATTGCAGCAATCAACAATTCAAAAATCGAGCGAGTACAAAAGTATCAATTGTTAACATGCAAGATTTAGAGTAATAAACAAATCAAAGTCCAATTACATAGTGAAAGTATAGTACGATGATGAGTAATAAAACGGGTCACTACAATAGCCCCTCCGTAGAATGCAGGTAAATGAAGTTTACCTGTATTCGGAATGATATTGTAAATTATAATTACAGAAGAAATATATACGAGTTTCTGGTATGAAAACCGAATTGAGGATTTTAAGTTTTTGAGGTTTGATAATATAACTGTATATATGCAAAAATGTTAATAACTTCGAAACGAACCAAAATGTTTAGAAAGTTGTGCAAAATGTAACAATAAAACCAGAAAAATTATTATTAGAATAATAATGAGGTTGTTATTGTAAAGAGTTACAGAATAGATTTATATCTTAACATACAGTTAATAGTATAGTAATAAGGAAGTATGGAAATGACTTGGGCAAACATTCAGTTACCTCTATTTCCATGAAAGCTGGTTGTACAAGTGGAATTGTACAAGAAGAGATGGCTGTGCCAGCGAAAAGTGCAGCAGTAGCTGCTGCTGCTGATACGGTTGAAAGTGAACGTCCGTCAGTATGTTGTTGTTGTTGCTGGGGTGTTGTTACTCGGCGTTGAGGAGTACTTGAACTGATGTTTGCTGAGGTTGGAGAGTAGCAGTTGGTTGATTGATAGGCATTCCAACAGAAGCAGTGGGCATAAACTGTGGTACACCAGTGGTTTGAATCAACTGACCGTTAGGACCAACAGTCATGAGTTTTAATGGAGCTCCTGGTGCCAGAATGATAAACTGGGGAGTAGCATCGGAGCATGCAGCTACAGTATCAGGTTGACCACTGACAGGGACGTCAGTTGCCATCATTGTTGGTTGTTGCTGATGTTGTTGGATATAAGTTGGCTGTTGAGCTGGTTGTAACTGATGAGCTTGTGCTTGAATCTGTTGTTGTTGAGGTGATTGGGTAAACTGTTGTAATTGAACACCTGTAGGACCGGCTTGAGTAAATGGAGTTGCAGACCATTGTAAGAGTGTTTGCACACCTGTAGACAATGCTGAAGCTTGAGGACAGAGAACTGGAATTGAGGTGTTGCATAACAGCCAGCTGCTACAGTTGCTTGAGTATCAGGGTGAACTGGGATAGCAGTCGCTGTGCCGCCAGGTCCGGAGGTACTTTGGGCAGAAATATCAGTAATTATACATCCAAATGTTATGAAGTTATAAAAGTTAATGCGATGGCAAAGATGATTTATTCCACTGTGTATACTTCGAAATGATGTAGTCCATCAATCAGCTATGTCGGGCTCACCAATTTGTTGCTGCTATATTTTGACTGAACTAGAGTACACGTATCTTCTAGTATTTCTTCGCGTTTATAATTGTGACCTAACGTTGCGATTACTCGACATCCGCAACGCAATTCAAAAGGCACTTGCGAAGGAATACGATAGTGTATTATTGCAGCAATCAACAATTCAAAAATCGAGCGAGTACAAAGGTATCAATTGTTAACATGCAAGATTTAGAGTAATAAACAAATCAAAGTCCAATTACATAGTGAAAGTATAGTACGATGATGAGTAATAAAACGGGTCACTACAATGCTGCACAGTGGCACACATGGTTCCTCAATATCGTACGAAAGGATGACGTTTTGAGCACAAAATATTGCTCATAATAATATCAAGTTACTCACACAACTTTTTACTTCATTTACATACACGTATGGAATCGATTAGATATTGGATTAAAAATCAATGTGAGATAATGTACATTCAGAAATAATAACAATACGAGTGTTATTGATCCATTACAATTGGATGGGAAATACGACGAGTGTTTTTATAGTCATAATAAGCTACTTGTTAGAATGTTGTGATGTGTTTGAATTGAAATAGAATTTTAAGATTATTTATTATTCTCTTCTGATTTGACTGGTGGTAATGATATCTTCGATATATCTGGTATTTGCATTGAGTCATTTCTGTCGCATGTGTTGTGTTGTGTGTAGCGTCGATGAATAAGGGTGCCGTAATCAAACTCTCTCTCCACCCTATTGTGTGGTTGTTTGTTAATGTGTGATTTATCAAAATAAAATCTAATCCATAATGCAGTTATACTCTACCTCAGTGCCCAAGTTTTATACTTATATCGTACGAAAGGACTTCGAATACACTATCAGTACATAGCTGATTCATTGGCTATTGGGGACCTGAAACATATATGCATTCACTCGCCCTACCATGACCAGAGTAATGCTCTTAGTATGATTTTGCTTCATTTTACTAAGTTTACCATTGTCATTAATATCATCATTCTTATTATCCTTATTTTATTATCACTCTATTACTGCTTAGTAATAATCTTGCATTTTCATACATATTTAGTGTAAACACTTCATTGTCTATAGCTGGTTTGTAAGGGTTAGTTCTGGTTTAACGAGTTGATCAAGGATTGATAACATTGTCTTCCCACTAGTTTTGTGTCCACTCCACACAATTATATTAACTAGTAATTATTACATCATCCGAACTTCTGCCCCTTAACTAGTTTCCTATTGGTCGTCCTTTCTAGATTACACCTTACGTTATGTAATACATTTTCAAGGACAAATTTTACCAGTATCTGATTGGTCCTCTGAATTCTTTGTTAAAAAAGACCCAAACGATGAAATGAAACAGCTAGAAGAGGCGTTGGTATCAAATAACTATCTATTAAAATTCATTAGGTATATCAAAAAAGGTCAAAAGCAAAATAAAAATAATTGTGAAACTAGCAATGATAACATAAATAAGAGTGAATATGAGTCATTCACTGTCATACCATATAGATAAGGGACATCTGAGACCCTACGTAGGATTCTCAATAAAGCAGGAATTAGGGTGGCATTCAAACCTACAAACTCACTCAGAGACAAGCTCTGTAGGCTAAAAGACCAGTGGACCCAATTAAACAAAATAATATCATTTGCAAAATACCTCACAATGACTGTGAGGTCAACTATACAAGTCAAACTAGTAGATTGAGGGTAGTCAGATTGCCCGAACATGAGATTTAGCTAAGGTACGAATGGTTGACCCCGAGAAGATGCGTAATTTAGAAAAAAGCTCAGCGATTGCACTTCACGCATTAACACACAACCACACAATAGGGTGGGAGAGGGTTGAAATTCTAAAAATTAATATAAGTAGGTGGAGAGAGAGTTTGATTATGGAATCCTTATTCATCGAGTCTACACACAACACAACACATGCAACAGAAATGACTCAATGCAAATACCAGAAATATGGAAGATTTTATTACTACCAGTCAAATAAGAAAAGGACAATAAATAATCTTAAAATTCTATTTCAATTCAAACACATCACAACATTCTAACAAGTTACTTATTTCGACTATAAAAACACTCGATATAAGTATAAAACTTGGGCACTGTGGTAGACCATAACTCCATTATGGATAAGATTTCATTTTGATAAATCACACAGTGTTACACAGTAATATTAACTGATGACGTTTCGAGAACAAACTATTGGTCATGATCATATCAAGTCACACACAACTTTTTTTCTCTCATTTACATACACGTATGGAATCGATTAGATATTGGATTAAAAATCAATGTGAGATAATGTACATGCAGAAATAATAACAATACGAGTGTTATTGATCCATTACAATTGGATGGGAAATACGACGAGTGTTTTTATAGTCATAATAAGCTACTTGTTAGAATGTTGTGATGTGTTTGAATTGAAATAGAATTTTAAGATTATTTATCATCCTCTTCCGATTTGACCAGCGGTAATAATATCTTCGATATATCTGGTATTTGCATTGAGTCATTTCTGTTGCATGTGTTGTGTTGTGCGTAGGCTCAATGAATAAGGATTCAATAATCAAAATCTCTCTCCACTTACATAGACTACTTCTTAGAATTTTAACCCTATCCCATCCTATTGTGTGGTTGTCTGTGGGATAGGGTTAAAATTCTAAAGAGTAATGTAGGTAGGAGGAGAGAGAGGTTGATTACTGAATCCTGGTTCATTGAGTCTACACACAACACAACACATGCAACAGAAATGAATCAATGCAAATAGAAGATATATCGAAGATATTATTACCGCTGGTCAAATCGGAAGAGAATAATAAATAATCTTAAAATTCTATTTCAATTCAAACACATCACAACATTCTAACAAGTAGCTTATTATGACTATAAAAACACTCGTCGTATTTCCCATCCAATTGTAATGGATCAATAACACTCGTATTGTTATTATTTCTGAATGTACATTATCTCACATTGATTTTTAATCCAATATCTAATCGATTCCACACATGTATATAAATGAAAGAAAAAAAGTTGTGTGAGTAACTTGATATGATTATGAGCAATAGTTTATGCTCGAAACGTCATCAGTTAATATTACTGTACAACACTGTGTGATTTATCAAAATGAAATCTTATCCATAATGGAGTTATGGTCTACCACAGTGCCCAAGTTTGATACCTATATCAGCAATAAGCAATTATGGACTTTCAGAGAACACTATGTCTGTTTTCGACATAGAACTTTACACTTATGTGCAGCAGTTCAAGTCGCCACACTCCATGTAGCACACAAAACAAGAGAAGAAAGTAGAAGAAGTGCATAATAGAGACAGTAGACAGGGTTATGAGACAAAAGGAATAGTAATAACGAAGAACAATATAGTTTTCAGAGAACACGAAATTTACTGAATTCGTAATAATTTTTTTTAGATGAAATGATCATGTAATACATATAGGTCAGTGTTCCAGCGGAAGTTATTCTTTTAAATTACTTTCTACAGGAACAGTCAATCCATGCCAAACTCCCATGTATAGAAGAGAAAATTATTAGTTTTCAACAGAATTGTACTGAGCATTGCTCTAAAAGTACAACAGTACCAAAGTATGGCTTACACTTTTCGTTTCCTTATCCTTCTTTCTTTCTCATCCAGGCAGTTGTTACACAAAAAAGGAGCTAAATCAATTTGTGTTCAAATGCAGATTCAAGGATACGATTCATGCTAATAGTTAGTAAAATACTTCGCAATCATTGGTTCGACAACTTTCCAAGTTCATTATCACGCTTGTTTTGCTAAAATAGAATTTCTACCCCATAGACAAAATTCCTGCTGTCATTAAAAAGGTAAAATACAATCACTATCCGTAGTACTTTTATTTAAACCTTTCACTGATCGATATCGTTATCAGAAAATATTATGACTTCGTTCCGGCTGAATGAATCTTGAAATGTTGCTGAAGGTTCACTCTTTCCCTTACTATTCGAATACGAAAGATCATATCTCTTGACACTTTTTTTCGTGTAATAATCAGATAAAATTAGTAGCTTCTGATGGTAAGGGTTTGTTAAGACCATGATGTATAATGTTATACGTCGAAAAAATTATCTCAAGATTTGATTATTGAAATCTCTTTCTATAGAGGGTATATTTATGACTCTGCTGTTATATATGTATGAAAAGCATAACCATAACTCAAATCCAACTGAAAAGAGTTCACATCAAACAAGTGCATATCAGCTTCACGTGTGAAGAAGAAAACAACAATCCATAAGTGTTTTTCAAGACATATTTCTGGGTTAAATAAACTTTGTTTCAATCAAACGATCAATTTACAGAAATCCTAATTGCATAGGACCGTACACCTTTTCTATCGCCCAACACAATGTAAGAGACACACCAGAATAGCAGATACAACAAGTGAGATTAGTAAGATACCGATTGATGCACGCTCCTAGAAAATGGATATCTACAGAGGTTTGAAGACTATACCTTACAAAGTTGTAAATTACGACGTTTGTACTAAATTAAGATGCAGAGACAGATGTAGTATGAATTTTACTACTGCAAAAACCAGTTAGATGCTTTATCATAAACAACAAATGACACTATGTTCCGTCTTTGCATTAATTTTTAACGCCTGTATGAACATTTGTACATAGAGAGAAGTGGTTTTACGAATCCTATTACCAGAATAGTTCAGAAGATTGTGTCTGAATAAATCAAACCGCTAAACACAGATGGAGCTTACAAATCAAAGAGGAGTAGTTACTTCAGTTGTTAATAATAAGGTCTAGACAGCTAAACCATCACATTAATTTCAGCACTTAAAACAAAGCAGGATAAAATCTTATGAACATCTTGTACAAAAGAGACGAACTTAAAGTTTATCGAGAATGAAACATTATTAGTCGATATGCACTCAGCTACAATACCTATTTTAAACAATATCATCAAACTTGCATGCATTTTGGCTTAATCAATGGAATTAAATTGTACATAAATATGCACTTTAACGCTCGAGATTTCATACATACCGTTTATAGGTCTTTTCAAGATGTTAGTAACAAAAGAAACTCAGTTAAAGTATGCACAAGTGAATCATTTTTACCTGATCAAATTTTATACACACTCAAAATGTTCACACTGTAAATAATCTTATTAACACATATATTCTAATTTACAGACTAGAATGTGAAATCTGATCGCAATCGTCTCGTATTACCAGGCAGAATTAATTGATACTTCACTGATGCCAGAATTACACTGCACCTTAAATAAGAAAGATTATTTGTCGCCTCAAGTCAACTGACAAATAAAATCTTCGCTTTCAGTCTTGTGCAATCAATATCACAAGTAATTATCATGCACATAGATCAAGCAACAGAACTAAGAAATCTTTTACTACTGAATATTTAGCTGTATCAAACTGTTCACTTTAACAATAATTCAGGACTTAAATGTATGATGTTTTTAAATGACCAGTTGGATAAGAATCACTTACTGTGACCATTCCAGTTAAAGAAACTTCCTATTATGAAAGTCAGGCAAGAAATACTCCCGGTGTTTGCTAACTACTCCCCTTGCTACATTTTTACTTAACATTCTAGTAGCTTTACATAAATAAGGCAAGATAATATTAACGATATAATTAAAAGGCTTTACAAAGTGAAAAAAAAGAAATACATTTGTATGCGTACAAAAATCAAAAGATAAAATCACTGATATTAAGGTAAAAAGAAATTAAGACAAATAAAGACAATAATACATATTCAAAAGTCCTCAGTATATTTTGGTGGCCGACTGGATGCACGATATACACGACCTTCGAATACTGGGTAAGAATCATGCTGCTGCTGGGTTACTGATGAGTCTTGAGGTAAAATGAATTTTAATCGTTTGCGCAAACTAGGACGAAGTTGTGGAAGTAATGGACGGACTTGGTCAAGTACACCATTACCAACATACATATATTTTATGTGGTATAACAGGTCAGCTATTGTATCCACATGCACTAAAGGTATACCAGTCTCTGATGGTATATGTTCATCCAATTCCTTTATATCACCAACATCAGGTGGTAATTCCGAGTCTTCTGACTTTTGATTAGCTGTTTTAGCTAAAATATTATCAACCTTCCATACAGCTCTGTACAATTCAGCCGTTAACTAAAAAGAGAGAGAAAAAATTTAACTTAAGCAACACATCTTATAATGAACACAGAACTTAAATGTACCAGGCAATTTAGAGTAAGCCAAAAACAGAACAGCTAACTGTCCTATCAATAATCGTAAGATTACATCATAGTGTGGTGTGTGCTACTGATAAGATTTATCAGTAGTGTATAAAGAGAATTACATTGTCATAAAAATATCAAATATCAGAGTGACAGACTTGACGTCAAGGTAAGTAAATGAACCAGCGTTGCGGAAAAACACGCGAGACACGAAAAAAATATGAAGAAACACAATACGAAGGGCCGAAGTAGCGAAACACGAAAAATATGTGCAAATCACGATTTTCAGTTAAGGTGTACTTAATTTCGCTACACGTAGATACCAAACGCCAAATAAACATTCTGTTACCAAGTTTTTTTGTTTTATGCCCTTACAATAGCATATCAATTAAGGGAAAATAAAACAAATGAAAAGTGAAGGAAAGCCAAAGTATTCTGATGGCTTAATTACCATTTCCTGAATATCATAGTGGTGGCGTGATACAGACAATGGGTTCCAACGGAATATTATTCTCACAGTAAGAATCATTGTATTTGTTGGTGTTAACGTCTGAATACTATTCCCACAGTTCAATACTGCATTAGCGACAAAATACTATATATATTTGGACATTCTATTTCATGTCGTTTAATGTAAACAAAATGATATGCTCAATGATTGGTTAAAGAATATAAACTGTACATATACAAATAGCGTTTTGATCAATAGAAAGTATCCCTTTTTTTCTATGCCTTGTCTTCTGCTGTTACAATAGTGTTACAGCCGTGAGACTGACAGTATGTCATATGAAATAAATCATCATTAACACGATTAATTATTCCTATACTGCCTTTCTGTGGAATCTGCAATAGGCTATATATAAGCAACGAAATACGGAATATAGACTATACATATTGCCATTTGTCTGTCTGTCTGTCTGTCTGTTTTCGACATAGAACTTTGCACATATGTGCGGCAGTTCAAGTCGCCACAATCCATGTAGCACGCAAAGCAAGAGAAGGAAGTAGAAGAAATGCAAAATATAGACAGTAAACAGTGGTGTGAGACAAAGGAATAGTAATAACGGAGAACAAAAGTTTAATTGGAAATCATAAGTCACAAGGAGTGGATGCATCTGCGCCACTGAGAACGATTTTGAGCCATGTCGCCAATTGTTTCCAACCATTGGTTTTTACCATCCCGAGGGCCCCAACCAGGAAGTCTACATCTTCCTACGTGGCTTAGATTAACTGTTGTGGATTTCATTGATTGGTGCCATGTTTTGGTTTGACCGCCGATGGCTCTTTTCCAGCCTGACCCTATATCAGCTAACATTGCCCGTCGAGGAAGGCGATGACTAGGCATACGTAGCACATGTCCTAACCATCTCAGTCGATGCAATTTCACAGTCTCGTCGATTGATTTCCCCGCCTTACCTAGCACTCGACGCCTAACCTCAATATTGCTCACCTTATTATTCCACTTCACGCGGGAGATAGAACGCAGACACCTATGATCGAAGACAGCTAATCTTTTCATGTCTTCTGCTCTCAATGGCCAGGTTTCACAGCCATAAAGGAGGACGGAGCGGACTGTTGAGCAGTACACACGCCCTTTGGTCGATAGTCGGATATCGCGTCTACGCCAGAGACGGCGAAAACTGGCGAATGCGAACCTAGCCCTCTGTATTCGTGCTGAAATTTCGTCGGAGATCAACCCGTTGGGGCTGATGGTACTTCCCAAGTAAGTGAAGCGGTCAACGTGTTCTACCACTTCACTTCCTATTTCTAATCTAGGGGTCGATGAAGTCCAATCCTGCAGCATCATCTTACATTTTATAGGGGCGAATCGCATGCCAAACATGCGGAGGTTGTTGCTCAGGGTGTTCAGTAGACTCTGCATTTTGTCAGAGTCCTCGCCTAGAAGGACTATATCGTCCGCGTATTCTAAGTCAACGAGATTCTTCCCTGGTAGCAAGTCAATCCCTGAGTCGCTGAAGTGAGTTAGGGTTAAGTCCATTAGTACATCTATGATGAAATTGAATAGGAATGGGGATAATGGGCATCCCTGACGGACGCCACTAGTCGTCACCACTTCAGATGACAACTCGCCATAAGCCCTCACCTGGCTGCATGAGTACGAATAGAGTGCCTTAATCAGTGCAATGTATTTTCTTGGCATTCCCTTTACAGCCAAGCATCGCCAGAGAACCTCCCGGTCGACGGAATCGAATGCCGCCTTTAGGTCAAGAAATATAATGATTGTCGGACGCCGGTAGGAATGCCTATGTTCTAGAATCTGTCGAAGGGTGAAGATGTGATCAATACACCCTCTACCTGGCCTAAAACCTGCCTGGTTTTCTCGTGTTTGTGTCTCCCGAGCACCACTTAATCTACGCAGTATTATTGAGCCTAGGATTTTAGATACTATATTAGTCAAGCTAATCCCTCTGTGATTATCACAAGACGACTTGTCCCCCTTCTTGTATATCGGGATGATCAGTGACTTACACCAACCCGATGGGACTTCCTCTGATTCCCAGACGCTGCCTAGAACCTCCGTTAACGCAGACAGTAAACTGTCGCCTCCGTACTTAAATACCTCTGGAGTCAATAAATCAGGTCCCGCTGCTTTGCCTAGCTTCAGATTGGTGACAGCTTTAGTAACCTCGGTTAAGGACGGAGGACCTGTGTCTATCTCCCATTCAGGGAGGTGCTGGATGTCCGGTAGGTTAAGTGTGGCTGTGGGCCAATTAAACTGCTCCTCATAGTGTTCTTTCCAGCGCTCCAGACGTCTATCCTGGGAGCTAATTATAGTGCCATTTTTCTCGGAGATTGTTTCGCTTATCATTTGCTTTTTACCACCTGTTTCCCTGATAAGCCTGAATAGTTGTCTGGTGTTGCCTATCGCCGATGCTTTTTCCATCTCTTTCGCCTTTGTCAACCACCACTGTTCACGGTCCTTGCGGAGACTTTTCGTAAGTTTCCTCTTGTGCAGCTTTCGCTCCTCATTGAATTCGGAGCTCGCCGGAATAAGTCTTCTAGCATCTATCAGTTCGGATGAGGCAGTCGAAATCCAATGGTTTTTACTCACCTTTGGATTTACCTTATTCACAGCTTTTACAGCTGTATCTATGGCTGACTGAATATTCTTCCAGGCTTCTTCAGGGTGAGCGCAGCTGTCAAACTCAGATATGTGTTTAGCTAGTTCTTCCTCAAATAGGGACTTAGTTCCCTGGTCGAGCTGGGGACGTGGTGGGTTTACCGCCAGCTGTTTCCTACGTCCGTTCAGTCGTAAGCACACACGAGCGCGGACCAGTGCGTGATCGGTATCTACACACGTGTTCCAGAAGGAGCGACAATCCCCTACCGACCCACGCCAACGATAGCTTATTGCTATGTGGTCTATTTGTGTCCAGCGTTGATTTGATGATGGTGGTCGCCAGGTCAAACAGTGTCTCTCCTTGTGTTTGAAGTTAGTGCTTACAAGATACAAATGATTATCTGAACAGAACTGTAGGAGACGGTCACCGTTGTCGGTTCGCTGGCACGGAATTCCGTATGTGCCACCAACATTCTTCTCAGATTGACACAATTTCCCTACTTGAGCATTAAAGTCACCAGCTAAAACGACTATATCTGAGCGTCTAGCCTTTCGCAGCAAACTGGACAGCTTTTGGTAGAACTCATCCTTCGTTTCATCCGAACTGCAGTCAGTGGGGGCGTAGGCGGAGATTACGAAAAGGCATCGGCGAGTAGTGCAGTCCTTTCTCCTTTTCACTGATCCGTTCAGGCGGACAGCACACATTCGGCTATCTACCGGGATCCAGTCAAGTAATGTCTTTTCTGCTCTAGTACTTAAAGCTATCCCAACACCAGCTAATCCTCGTGAGCTAGCCGTCGCATCCCCTGACACCCTCAAGGTGAATTTTGCAGATTCATCCTGTTGGCCAGGTGGGGTTAGGTGAATAACCACACTTGGGTCTTGTATGCGTGTTTCTGAAACACAACATACATCAATGGCTCGGGATGCCAGAGTCTTGGCTAGTGATGCTTGTTGTCCTATTTGGCAAAGTGTCCTAACATTAAATGCTCCTATATAAAATTGGTGGCGTGGCTTTAGGAGACCATCAGTGGTGGCTTTTTGGCTTCCATCGTTATCAGTGCACACAGAGTGAAGGGGAAGTGAAGAGCCAACAAGTAGAGGAGTTGCATTAGTAGAAGGAAGGCAAGATAATAGAGATGAAGACAAAGATGAGCGAGGATTAGAGGGGTTTCGCGTGCACTTCGGATTGTGAGGGCGATTGTTACTTCCCGGCTGCCCACACCGTGGAAGTTGGTTGCGTGACCGCAGAGCCCAGGGGACAACTGCTTGAGGCCGGTCACACACGGCCTGTTTTTGTTTGTTCTTTTTTATATGGTGTGTCTCAGTAGCGTATTTATCACTTCTGCCCTGTGACACGGCAGCAGAAAGCGCGGTCGTTGTTAATCCGGGCCCCGACCGATCCGGCATGATATTTTGTGATTTATTTGAAATCATAGGATTGGATATATTGCCATTTAAAGGGCTTCTTTAACACGAAGGTAACTTTTATCCTTAGTACACTAAATTGGATAATTAAGAACAGTCACTTGTTCATAAAAAGCCTGAATTGTGAATTCACACTTACATACCATCACATTTGGGAATCTAAAGCTTACACATAGACACCCGTGACAGTTATCGCAAGTTATCGCAGCACTTTATCCACACATAAACAACAATTATTTACCAATTTCGTAAACTTTATGATAGCTATATATATGAACACGTTCACTTACATCGACTAATTTTGCGGGACGTTCTGCGTGCAATGATCCCATTAATGGTGCAACCAAGTAAAATGCCATGAGTAACTGAGCTTCGTTGTTTAACTCCGGTAAAATAAGATCAGAGAAAACGCTAGGAGAATTAAGAGAGAAATCGATTATTTTTTAGGTTTTGCAATATAGTTAAGTTACACTACGGACAACACATCCATTTTGTTCCGCTTACAAGAAAGTATGACATGAGAATTTTTATCCTTCTTTCCGGACACTAAAAGACAACACAGAAAGACAGCAAATAAATTTTACAGTAATCTATCAGATAAATATAATTTTGGATAAACTGATTTCCTACAAATAAACCATTTAGAGAATACACGAATGATTCTTAGAGGACATTAAAAAAATGTTATTTTGGAAGTAAGCATTTTCGTAAACATTTACACAAAAATATGTGAACTATCAGCATCTCAGTACACCATAAATATCCATGAATTCCGATAGCACTCATTATGGGAAAAATTTATTTTGATAGAGTCTCACAGTATTATACAGTAATATTTACTGATAACCTTTCGAGCATAATTTATTATTCATAATCATACTCATATCAACTTGATATGATTATGAGTAGTAAATTGTGCTCGGAACTTCATCAGTAAACATTACTGTATAACACTGTGAGACTTTATCAAAATAAATTTGAACCATAATGGAATTATACTCTACCACAGTGCACAAGTTTTATTCTTATATCAATTCCGATAGCAGTGCTAAAATTAAACACTGATGACGATCAAATGTAATCGAGTTTGGCCCTAATTAAAACACTGGAAAGCTTAACAGTGGACGAACCTAAACGTCTAACTAAAAGTCATCCCCATAGGAATACAGTAGCTGTATATACGTGGGATAACAAAACGAAACGTAGATTGGGATAACATTTGTATTCTGAAATCCAACATGGAAAGAAAGACTACTACTACTTCAATAACTAAATCAAAAACAAAGAACAGAGCATATATGTATTGATATGCCAATTGATAATTGACTACTTCTGAGAAACGTTGTCACTAGTAAATCACTGGCGCACTTAACTGTTTACTACTACCATTCTGATGTACAGTAATTCTTCAACTTAAGATATCGACATTATTTTAGTGGAAGTATTTTCATCAATGTTGCTCGTACAATTTACTACAATAGCTTAACTCACCCAGGTAACAAAGCCAAATGAGTTGTATTTGCATGTGCCCAAATTGAATGCCATAGATTTGCTTTGACTAAATAGTCTTTTACATCTGAAGATGAATTGGTATAATCGACATTCTCTGTGAAAGTTGGGTTTTTTTCTGTAATTCTGTGTGACGTTTCGATTCTGTCACTATCAGCATTATTCATTCCACTAGCATAACTAGGATTCGTATTCTGATCTAATGGAAGGCATATTTCAAAGAAATCCACAGCTACTTTCGGTGGACTTAGTAAAGAAGCTGTCTCACTTTTAGATGATGAAATGTCACATGCTGGCAAAGTGGAATCCTCGACAGTAGTGAAATTATTATCAAGCAGTTTTCTGTGACGCAGAACTCTGGAAGAACGACGCCATTTTGTATTCTCATAACCATAACCATATGATTTTTGACCAGTACCACCAGAAAACAAGTTGTCAACATCCGTTAAATTCGATTCAGATGTAGCATCACAGAGAACTGGATCGTTAAATAAAGTCACGCAAAACTTCATCAGGTGAAGACAATAGACATTCTGAAAAGAAATAGAATTGAAAACTAGAGTTAATCAATGTAAATTATTATTTGGAAATGGATTTCAACAAAACAGAACCGAAGTAATCTACTTGAAAGATGTATAAAGAAAATCAAGAAAATACTATCATATTTCAGCTTTAGCGATGAATCCCACTTCGTTCTAAGCTGCAAAGTAACTTTCTGACGGAAAATTGCACTGAATATCACACAGATACATACTGGGAAACAATGAATTGAATTCAATCGACCTAAGTCATGAAACAGGTTACAGAACACCACAAAATCTTCCTAGTAAACTCAGATTATACAGAAATATAACAAAAAAAAGTTCCTGTAAAAGTGCTGAATAGAACTGGGCTTTCCAAGATGGTGATCATCTTAAGTAGACTCAAGATATACCATAGTAGTAAACACGTAAACAAAAACCAGTCTTAAATTCACGAATAGCCAGAGTCACCAGTCATTTCAGAATCTCAAAATGAAGAAAGTGCAGGAGGTCTGAGTGAATTCAATAAATAATCATAAAGTCATTGTCGCGGTTGATTTAGTGACAGAAGTTGATTAAGTTTTCTTACACACTTCCCTTCTTTACTGGTAAAACATTGTTGTAATGTGATGTCGCATCCGCGTTGAAAGTATTCTCTTGCTACAGTCGAGGTAACTTGTTCCAGAACTGTAGGTAAGCTGATAAATACACATAGATGCCACCAGACAAAGCGGCATACCTTTTACACAAATGGAGAACCACTTCCAGTTGTTGGAAGTCAATTTGGCTTTCACCACAAAGAGAATCTTATTAAGTGATTTTGAAAAACGATTTTTGAGCATTGCTAAAGTCTGATCGCCTCTCAATTCTAGACACATGATGGGTTTTCTTTGGAACCGAATGAATAACCCGTTGAAAATGTTTACATTTCGTGATTTCATGAATAAATCGGTCTGGATAACCGTTTTACACAAGCGTGGCTCTTAGCTGAGACAATTTTGCGTCAACAGAGTTAGAACTACAACTAATTCTCATCCTAAAACCGAGAAAATGAATACGATTTTTTTCTTTCTCGGGAATAGGCACTAAACTATAGAAATCAGTTAATTGTCCATTGCACGTATGTTTTCAGTGGATGGATCATTTAAGAGATTCTTCCTTACATTATGTCAAGAACTCACCATGAAAAAGAGTGCATTTTTTCTAGGACTACTTTCAAAGATGGATGACTATTTTTAACTGGGAGCTAAATATCATCATCTGTTGAAATCAAAGCGACCAATATTTCGACTACGCTGATTGCTTCCAAGCTTCGATATAAACAATCTGCAAGCAGTGGAATCGGTAGCGATCACATCCTTTTGCTTATATACAAGTAGAATATGCATCTGAATAAGAGCTCTTTAAGATCGGTTGTTGGCAATCATACATCTGAACTTTATTTTAAACAAGTAATAAAGTGATAACAATTTTTTATTAAACAAAACAATCGACTTACAGGTAAAATGATTGCCAATGCACCGATAATGTTTAACAAATGATTAAAGTCAGGATGATTTACACTGAAACAACATTTTGAAGAAACAAAGAATAATTGGACATTAAAGCAAATGAGTTCAATTATTACACATAGGTAAATAGCATACATCCTTGTAGATAGATCATGAGGACCGAAAATATGAACTGAAATCAACGCACACGAGCGAATAATTACTTATTATGAATATTATTCACAAAGTAATGCCTATGCGTGTCTAAAGCAAATAAAAATACCAAACCGGTAAATAACAGAATCAGACACATCGAATGTATCACCTATTGGTCTACAGGGATCACTTTAGATACAGGATTGACCATGAGCTGACATCTGGCAGAGAGTCACTGGAAGAACTGGGGGTAACGGACAGTTCTTTCGTCCTAGCTACTGTGAGTACCTACTGATGAATAATCCCAAACGAGGTCGAAAGAGCTGTCCGTTACTCCCAGTTCTTTCAGAAATTCTCAAACTAATGTCAGCTTGTGATCAATCTTGTAACAGCGAATATGCACGACTGTCATGGATTGGTCATACACGTAGTTCACCGACATGTCAAACATTCCAAAATATTATAACGGTCTAAACAGAATCAAAACAATCTCAAAAGACACAAGTAATACTAATTATGTACAAACTCACGAGAAATCAAACTGATACAAAGATGGAGGACCGCTTCTGATATAGAGTGTGTATTTCCAACTATTGGCCTTATGTGTGTATGCAAAATCAGTAGTAGAAGGAAAAAATTTCACATTTGAGTCAGAAAATGAACATCGAGAACTAGCTACCTTAAATTGTAAAATTAAAAACGAACTGAAGAAGGCATTTATAAGACACCACTGTATTCTCATAGATACTTATATTTTAATTCATCTCATCCGTTATGAGAGAGCAGGCTTAGTTAAATGTCTAACGAACCGAGCAATAACACTAAGTAGCACATCAAAAAGCCCAAAATTATAAAATGAAACCGATAGAAGGAGCATTGGTGTCAAATAACGATCCCGTGAAGATCACAAAAGGTCACAAGAAAAAGAAAAATAATAGTGAAACTAGTGACGATAACATGAATAAGAGAGAATCTAAGGCATCTACAATTTTATCGTATAGGGAAGGGAAACCCGAAACTCTATGTGGACTTCTTAACAGAGCGGGAATTAGAGTAGCATTTCAACCGACAACCTCACTCAGGGACAAGCTCTGTAGGTTAAAGGACCCTATTGACCCAATTAGACTAAATAATGTGATTTACAAAGAAGCACCTCGCAGTGACTTTGAGGTCGACCACATAGGTCAAACCAGTAGATGGGGGATAGTCAGATCATCGGAACGTTAGAATTTAGCTAAATGTCGAGGGATTGCTCCATGGAGATGAGTAATCTAGACATAAAAAACTCAGAAATCGCAATGCATGCATTAACACACAACCACACAATATGTTGGGGGGCAGAGTTACAACTCTAGAAGGTAATATAGGTAGGTGGAGAGAGAGGTTGATTCCTTAGTCTTTGTCCATCGAACAAATGCAATAGCAATGACTCAAGACCAATACGAGAGATATAGTGGATATTACTACCAATCAAATGAAGGGATACGATATAATGTTCAATTTTGGTTTTGTTTCATTTTAATTTACCTTAACATATTCTAACATCTTATTTATTTTACTGAGGAAACATGTTATTTTGTTATTCTGGCAGCACTCATCTTATCGACTGAGAAGAAACGTTTTAATTGTCGTCTTATCACGTTTTACTGAAAACATTCATCTTATTTGAGAATGTACTTCATCTTCTTATAACCTGTTTCATGCATGTCGATTGAATTTTATATTTCCTCTTATTTATTCATTCATATATCTAGTGAATTTGTCACTCATGTGTAAGTAAACAAAGTTATGAGCAATAAATTGTGCGTCGGTGGCACAGCGGTAGAATGCTCGCCGACCACGAATGTGGTCGGGGTTCGATCCCCCGGCGACGCACTCCTGAACCTCGCTAACCCAGTAATAAGAATGGTAAAGAGGGAAGATCGAGCATAGGGCTAGCAACCCCATCCCGTAAAAAATAACAGTGCTACCGAAACTTCAAGCCTCTGACTTGAAACCCTACGTTCCACTGGGAACGTGAAGGAATTAAAAAAAGAGCAATAAATTGTGCTGGAAACTTCATGAGTAAATGACACTGTATAACACCGAGTTTAGCAGATATATCGTCTATATGATGAAAAGATAATGAAATATGGAAGGATGTGTTGTGTAGTGAAAAAAGGAAAATTACTAACCATGAGGTTAAAAGGTTGGATACAGCTGTTGTTAGTTCATCTGGTACGGTAAAATTGCACATTATTTCAACTGAAGCGGCATATAAACCTGCAGTTTGCACACAAACACTCTCTTCATAGTTCCAGGTTCTCCAGGCTGCCGGATGGCCGGATATTCCGTGTTTTTGATTGCCTAGAAAGCCAAAAAAAATTGAACCCGCAGTCAGTGTGGATTGAAGAGCGAATACATGAGCGGAAATGCTCTGCACTTGTTACGAATATAAGGATAGTATGGTAGGCAAACATGCTAACGAGGGGACAGTTTGTTCCTAAACATTATGCATATGATTTTCTTGTAGCTTGTTGAAAGTATCAGTGAGTATGGGCAGGTAGTTACTAAGTTATTCATTAGGAAGTTATAACTTCTAATATTTTGCCAGGAAAACGTAAGGTCTCGGACTTACAACTGTCTTCAACCATACAACAAATTAGATTCAGAGCAAAGGAACTTTCAGGCGTACTTGCTAAGAATTACTGAAGCCTAAGTGATGCCGGAATGTAAACTTTAAAAATTATTGATTAATTTTTATATCAAGTGGCAATAGTAGTAGCAGTATCACAACATATTATGTCTCAATAATTCTTATATTCTTATAATTAATATTTCCTTGATTCTGATTTAAAACTATGCACATGTTAGTGGTATGATATTTCTTGAGTAAATACACAATACAGTTTCCTACAAAAAAACAGATTAACACATTTAATTATACTGCCTTAAAAACCGAAAATCCTCCAAAGTGAATGAATTAGACAGAAGGGTACAATTCGACAATTATATTGCGCGGACACTACACACATACTCCCAACTTCGAATGAAGCAGTTGAGGAAATACAGACGAAATAAAATAGATTTGTTTCGCCATGCACCACTGATTATTATTGCTTTTCTCAAATTCGTCAAAGAAAATTCATTTGTGAAAATTTAAATGAAGAACTCGAACAATTGAAACCCAGTTATCAGTAAATAACAAAGATTAAAAATTTTTTTCGCTCAAATGAACGACATTTGTTATAGATTATGAGGCTTACGACATTATGCACTACTGACTGCGACGAAAAATGCATTCACAATATTCACCGTTTCTATAGACTATGGTAATACACCAGCACTTTATGATATGCATAAACAGTACTGACTAACTGCTTTCAACGTGGAACTTTGCGATGATGTGCAGCAGTAGTAGTGTGGCACGTGCCACTGATAAGATTTATCAGTAGTGTATAAAGAGAAGTACATCGTCATTAAAATATGAAATATCAGAGTGACAGACTTGACGTCAAGGTGAGTAAGTGAACCAGCGTTGCGGAAAAACACGAGATACACGAAAAGAAGATGATGAAACACAATACGAAGGGCCGAAGTAGCACAACACGGAAAATATGTGCAAATCACGATTTCCAGTTAAGGTGTAGTTAATTTCCTTACATAGGTATATAAAATTCCAAATAAAAATGGTGTTACCAAGTCTTATGTCTTCTACCGTTACATTTTAGTATCGCTGCATCCATAAAATGAAGATTCCATGGCCGGCTGCTTTCGAGGAGACATTAGGAGCTTATTGTGGGACTTCGATACCGCCGCCGAGTTGGTGGGCATCAAGGATCCGAAAGTGCAGGCGTTTGTGCTGAGGACGCTGGTGCGAGGTCAAGCAAAGGCGACGTACAACAGTGTGTATTGGTTGAACTGTCGGTTGCGGAGATCGACAGCCCGGCGGATACGCAGCTGGCGATGCAGACGTTCCGTGCCACGAACCTGGGACCAGGCAGAGACTCGCTAGTGTTGGTGGTGAAGCTGACGAATTTGTTAAGTTGCTCACTACCCACACTGGATGAAGAGTAGGAGTCGCAGGTACTGATGTCCCATTTCATCGAGAGTGTCCCCAGACTGCATTTCTTAACAACTACAAATGGTTAACGCCGCACAATCCATGGACATCGGTTAGCTAGCAAAGGTGACTAGATAGCTGCTGGAGCACAACGGTAGCCTCAATAGAGCCACAGAAATCGAACGGATGAGGACACGTGAATTAGCGGCACTTTGAATGAGTGCTAGGAAAGACCAATGCTTTGGATGTGATAAATCAGGACACTGGAGGAGGCACTACGCAGGAAGAAGGGGAAGACAGACAGCATAATGTATGTTCTTTCTCTCCTATAAGACTAAAAGTATTAGGGTTTATCGAGAGGTGGGCCATGTATTCTAAGTTACGAGTGAATGGCCTAGAAGTAGTATGTTTAATAGATACAGGGGCAGCAGTGTCACAAATAGATAGGAATCTACGCCAGAGCGTACGACGGTGTTCATTGAGAGTTCAAACAGTAAATGGATACACATTAAACATCACGGCCATGTCGAACTGTAGAACTATTGGCGATCGCGATCGTTCATTGATGCGTCACAGCTATAGTCAACAATACTTGGCGCTGATTTTCCGCGAGAGGTCAAAGCGGTAATCAACACAAAGGAGAGGACAGCGATTACGAAGCATAATACTATCAGTATGCATGAAACAAGCAAGATAGCACGAGTTAAGGCATCGAAAATTCAGGATATGACACTGTTAGTTAAAGAATACGACCATCTGTTCACCCTAAGGTTATTGTGATAAGGTGAGACAGGAGATCCCTGTGACCGATCGCAAAATGGCACCATTCACAACGCAAAGAGTCACATGTCATTTAGAAGGCGAAGTCGAGCGACAAGTGAACGTGATGCCAGAGCATGATATTATTGAAGAAGCTGAAAGTCCATATGACTAGTTCTTTTAGTGAAGAAAGCAAATTGGAAGTACAGATTTTGCGTTGATTTCCAACAGCTAAATAGCATGACAGAACTTAGACCGTGTGACATGGCAACGTAATAGACCTTGGATACTCTACAAAGCGCAAATCTGTTTACAGTCCTCAACCTCCAGTCAAGATATCGACAAACACCAATAAAGTGGAACGACAGAAATAAGATGGCGTTCGTTATGGGACAAACAGTATCGGTCTCAACGCATCTCATTTGGAATAGCAAGTGCACCGTTTACCTTCAGACGACTGATAAAGTTGTTACTTAGGAACTTGAAGAATGTGGAGGTGTACAGCGATGACTTCGTCATCTACAGCCAAAATGAAAGTGACCATGTCAAGACCGAGTTAAAACCCATTGAAGAGTCTTGACTGAGCATCTACACAATCAAATTTCAGAAAGCCAAACGGAGTGTTACGCTGTTCGGTTATAAAGTAGGCAACGGTAAGACACAGCCTTTACCGCAGAAATTCTTGTCGATAAAGACCATTACGACTCCAAATTCCCTTAGAAAGCGGTGGGCGGCGTTCTACAGTCAATTTGTGAAAGAAGTCAAGGAAATAGCAGCCCCTCTGTACAGGCCAATAGGTGAGTCAAAATTTGTTTGGTCGGAAGATTTCCGGAAGACATTCGTCAGCCTTAAATAACTTTTAGACCACCAAAAATGCCCCTAAAACGACATGTCCTTGGAAAAGTCTATGGTGTGCACAAATGCGAGTGACTTCGGCATAGGCGCAGTACTTAGACAGGTTGAAGGAGTTGTCGAATATGCCAGTCGTGTTTAAATACACAGAATAGAAGTACTCGACGATAAGGAATGTCTGGCAGTAGTATGGATGGTAGACAAATGGAGACCTTATTTACTCGGCCAACGGTTTCACATCAAAACTGATCACGAGCCACTACAGTTTCTGATGCTAGCGAGGGACCCATGTGGGAAATTGTCGTGATGGATACCGCACCTGCATATATTAAAACAAAGCTTCTGTTATCAATCTCTCCCTATACCCTGTGACATTAGATTTCAAAACTGGGGGTGAATGTTTCACCCCCACCCCAAAAGTATGGTGGAGGTACGCAGATGATACATTCACTGTACTTAGAACACAAGATATAGATAGGTTTTTCGAACACATCAACTCGAAGGTTGAAGCAATTCAATTCACTTATGAATTGGAAAATCAGGAAGGGGAGCTCCCAATGTTAGATTGAAACGTAAAGAGGAAAGAAGATGGGAAGTTAAACACTAGTGTTTACAGGAAACCCACACACTCAAATAGATATTTGGACTTCCGATCATCCCATCCTATGTCAGTAAAAATAGGATTGGTGAAATGTTTAAATGACAGAGCACAAAAACTAAGTAGTACCAAAGAAAATCTAAAACAGGAACTGATACACATAAAAGAAGCTTTGAAACTTAATAATTAACCGGATAAATTAGTCAAGAAATATGTAAGGAAATGTAAAAATAAAATAAATAGTGATAGTAGCGATAGTGATAATGACAATAATAATGATAATAATAATAGTGATAATAATAATAATAATGACGACACCAATAATAAGGAATCTAAATCATCAGTAGTAATTCCATACAAGGAAGGAACCTCGGAAACCACCTTACGCAGAATTCTTAACAAGGCAGGAATAAAAATGGCATTCAAACCCACAAACTCAATTAGAAACAAGCTTTGTCGGTTAAAGGATCCTGTAGAGCCTTTAAAACAAAACAATTTAGTTTATCTCATACCCTGCCTGCAATGATTGTCAGGTCAAATACATAGGTCAAACTAGTAGGACAGGGGCAGTCAGACTAGCTGAACATAAAAACCTAGCAAAATCTAGATTGGTTGACCCGAATAAGATAAGAAATCTAGAGAATAGTTCAGCTATAGCATTACATGCAGTCACACACAACCATACAATTGGATGGGATAGGATGACAGTTTTAAAATCTAATGTCACAGGGTATAGGGAGAGATTGATAACAGAAGCTTTGTTTATCGAATCAACTACAAATACATGTAATAGGAACGATTCATCACCTGTCCCCGATATCTGGAAAATTCTACTACCCATACGATAAATAGGAGAGAACAAAGAAAACTATAAAACTCAAGTGTCAAAGTCGTGTGATTACAATTGATATGATTATGAACAATAAATTTTGTTCGAAACGTTATCCAGTATATAATACTGTTTCACTGTGTGATATACCTAATAAACAAACTAATATGGAACGAAGGAAGTTGGTTGGCGATAATACCTCAGTTTCTACGCCATGAGATGATACAAGGATGTCACCACTTAGCACATACAGGAGTGACCAGAGCAGCCGACCTCTTGAGACAAAGCATGTACTGGGCAGGTATGAGAGATGTGGCAAAATATGTACTTGGATGTCTGTAATGTCAGTTGATGAAAGGATTTCGCTGCATACAACCGCCTCTGCAGTCGACTCCAGTTACGGCAGTAGGTGTAATGGGTCCGTTTCCACAGAAATACAGTGGCAATCAGTACTGCTTATAAGATTTATCAGTAGTGTATAAAGAGAGGTTCGTCGCCATAATAACACCAAACAGCAGGGAGATAGATATTCGTCAAACAGCTCAAATGAACCAGCGTTGCGAAAATACCTAGGAAAGACGAAAAAAAGACTAGGAAACAGAATACGAAGGATTGAAGTAATACAACACGGAAGGTCTGTACAAATGATGATTAGTAACAGTTTAGAGTTGACTCAAGAGGAATTTCAAAAAGATAAACGTCATATTATCTGCTAGGTGATTTACATGCTTGAGTCTGTCTGGTGTTTAGCCGGAAAAAACATTATGCCATTATAATCACTGCATAAAATTATGTCTGAAGCGTGCGAAATACCAGATGGACTTTACTGTCTATTATTCACTATCCCCCTCCAAAGCCTCAGGATGGTCGGCGGTGGGTGCCTTGCGCTGCGGGTTGGCCACCCATCCGCACACCTCTTGAAATGCTCCCCCCATATGACCGGGCGTCTTACATAGCCTCTCCTGAGGAAGTCCTACTCACTGCCTTCACGTGGCGGAGGTGTTTTTCACCAAAGTGAGAGGGCGAAAGCGGATGCCCGGCGCTCTTCACCGGGTTGACTGTCCATTGGATGACAGTCTAGGGGAGATGGCTAAACCCTGATTCCAAACCTCCAACGACTGGCGTATGAAGCTCACTGGAGCTCACCGGCAGACGTATGGACAAAGGGCTTGTTGGATGTCCTGGATGTCTGGCCCCATTCAAAAAGGCGTATGAACCGAACTGCGGTCACCGGCTGCCAATGGATAGTGGACTCCCTACTCCACTCCTACTGCCTTGTAGGTCACACTTGGTTGTGTAAAGGCTAGAGCTGCACTCTCAAACAAAAGGCCGAGCGATTCTGGGGACATCACTCGTACCAAATTCCCATGAAACTTCATGAACTCTCTTACCTTGTCGCAAAAACCTGCAACAGATCGCCGCGCCTGGGCAGCGATGATTCGAGATGTTCATGAAGCCGGCCCTCCTTCCGTAGGAGATAGCCGAAGTAAAGTAAGTAAGTAACTATCCCATATGCACTGTGGACGACATTTCTTTAAGTTTATGATACCATGGGAACCACAATAGTCAAGTCCAGGAAGGGATAAACGAAAGAATACTTGTTAACGCTAAGACGGAATTCGCTTACTTTTACATATTGGGTCAATTAATTCGAACAGATAGTCTGAATTATTCAACTGCGGCTTATTAAAACTATACCAATTGGCATACGTGTTTCTCAACTGCACTTCATATGATTTTGAGTTCAGTATAATGTTTATATCTAATTTTTCGACATCAATCGTTTTATTATCACAGTCATCTCCAGCAGTATCTATATTATTGCATATTAAATCATAGAATATCTCAGATTGCTTTACACAGGACTCTAATTGATGCCATCCTTGACAGCTGAATAAACCATGTGTAGGAATACACTTTTGACTAAAGCGTTTAGAAGCGCGAATTGAAGCTGACTTCACTGCCAACTGCTGATGTTTCCTGATAACGCAATGAACAACTAGTTGGCACGATAAGTGATCTATAATCCAAGGGATGTTTTCACCATCTGATTCCCGTGAATATTTGGCGACTGAAGGACCTGTATAATCTCCATTCGACTGTACCTGATGCAGTGATGTGTACATTTCACTCGGTAATTTGCTAATGAGGCTTTTTCTATTGAATTCGATGTGATCGTGTAACATTGTAAAGCAGACATTAATTGGACGTCCTAAGTAACAAATAAAAAGAAAAGGAATTGTCAAGAACTCAGGTTAAGCACATCAATCGAATTAAAAGAATAATTCCACATTAGATAAGCTTATTTTTAAATATTACACAGTGATGCAGTATTAACAAACTGGATGACGTTTACAGCACAATTTATGGCTCATTATCATATCAAGGTCCTAACACAATTTTTTTTGCTTCGCTTATATACACGAGTAAAAATTGATTATACATATGAATAAATCAATAAAAGTTCAATAGATATGCATGAAACAGAAGAGAAGATAGAGTACATTCGGAAAAAATATTAGTGTCGTTAATATGATGCAATATCTCTCATTTTTTCACACTTATAAACTCAGTAGTAGATGGAATCCAATTCACTTCTGAGTTAGAAAACAAACAAGGTGAATTGGTACTGCTAGACTGTAAAATAAGACGATATTAGATACTAGCATCTATATGAAATAATAATAAATACTTGGACTTTAATTCATCCCATTCACAGTCGGGAGAGATAGGTTTAGTTAAATGTCTTTATAATTGGGTCAAGAGCCTAACTAGTAAGCCAAAAGATTTTAGTGGTGATATCAATCAAATACAGGTCGGTCGGTCGGCCTTCGACACAGAACTTTGCACATATGTGCTGCAGTTCAAGTCGCCACACTCCATGTAGCACACAAAGCAAGAGAAGAAAGTAGGAGAAATGCATATTAGAGACAGTAAACAGAGGTGTGAGACAAAGGAATAGTAATAACGGAGAACAAAACAGTTTTATTGGAAATCATAAGTCACAAGAAGTGGATGCATCTGCGCCAGCCATTGAGAACGATTTTGAGCCATGTCACCAATTGTTTCCAACCATTGGTTTTTACCGTCCCGAGGACCCCAACCAGTCAGGAAGTCTACATCTTCCTACGTGGCTTAGACTAACTGTTGTAGATTTCATTGACTGGTGCCATGTTTTCGTTTGACCACCGCTAGCTCTTTTCCAGCCTGACCCTATATCAGCTAACATTGCCCGTCGAGGAAGGCGATGACTAGGCATACGTAACACATGTCCTAACCATCTCAGTCGATGTAATTTCACAGTCTCATCGATTGATTTCCCCGCCTTACCTAGCACTCAACGCCTAACCTCAATATTGCTCACCTTATTATACCACTTCACACGGGAGATAGAACGCAGACACCTATGATCGAAGACAGCTAATCTTTTCATGTCTTCTGCTCTCAATGGCCAGATCTCGCAGCCATAAAGGAGGACAGAGCGGACTGTTGAGCAGTACACACGCCCTTTGGTCGATAGTCGGATATCGCGTCTACGCCAGAGACGGCGTAAACTGGCATATGCGAAACTAGCCCTCTGTATTCGTGCTGAGATTTCGTCGGAGATCAACCTGTTGGGGCTGATGGTACTTCCCAAATAAGTGAAGCGGTCAACGTGCTCTACCACTTCACTTCCTATTTCTAATCTAGGGGTCGGTGTAGTCCAATCCTGCAACATCATCTTACATTTTACAGGGGCGAATCGCATGCCAAACATATGAAGATTGTTGCTCAAGGTGTTCAGTAGACTCTGCATTTTGTCAGCGTCCTCGCCCAGAAGGACTATACCGTCCGCATATTCTAAGTAGACGAGATTATTCCCTGGTAGCAAGTCAATCCCTGAGTCGCTGAAGTGTGTTAGGGTTAAGTCCATTAGTACGTCTATGATGAAGTTGAATAGGAATGGGGATAATGAGCATCCTTGACGGACGCCACTAGTCGTCACCACTTCAGATGACAACTCGCCGTAAGCCCTCACCTGGCTGCATAAGTACGAGTAGAGTGCCTTAATCAGTGCAATGTATTTTTTCGGCATACCCTTTACAATCAAATACAGGAAATTTGAACAATGCAAGAACTGCAGTTTTTTCAGAATAAAGTGGTACCATCTTTTATTTCGTTGCCTTCTCGTCAGCTGCTAACAGGCCAAAGACATTACTAAATATATCTACAAAAACAATTTTAACATACTTGCACAGAGTTCATTTGAAACAAAAATCAATCGATCAATATATGCATACAGTAATATATATATATATATATATTACTGCTCTTTGGTGCAATCAAAAATCGATAGATATCCTTCTCATGTTAACTGCAACTGTATATACCAATTTACATGTATCTGCGGGAGCAGCTACATTGAAAGGACAAAAAGAAGGGCATATCTACGATTTCCTGAACATGTACCAAAAAGCTTATGTCTATAGGGAACAAATGAGCAATATATTGTGTTCGAAACGTCATCCAGTTTGTTAATACTGCATCACTGTGTAATATTTAAACATAAACCTATCTTATATGGAGATGTATATTATACAACGGTGCCCAAGTTCTACACTTACAGTTAAAGAAACAAGTTATCAAAAAATCCAGTGAAAAATATTAACGGTTCATTCAATCATGGTCCAATTATTATGAAACACAAATATCTCGCAATGTAACTGACGAAGACTTCTGTTTATTTTCACAAGAATTCTGATGTAGTTTTGTTCTCCGAGCTGAATGGTTTATTTGCGAAAGTTTCGTTGTCCCACTCAGCAACATCTTTAGCACATACTTTAATTTGAAGTGAACTTTTAGATTTCTCTACGTACTTCCAAATTAACGGACAAATATATAAACAAGTTAAAGGAACACCCATTGGATCAGGTTTGACTGAAGAAGCAGTCATGCAAAGACTCGAAAACATGATCCTACTAAAAATTCAACCCAAAATTCGGATACATTACGTAGATGACACATTCGCAATAATCAAAAGAAACGAGTTGGACAAAACTCACAACTTAAGAAACAGAGTTTTCAACGACATCAAATTCACAAGAGAAGAGGAATTCAAGAACGAAATGTCACTTTTAGACGTCTTAGTCAAGCGAACAACCACAGGAAAATTAGAAACTCTAGTTTATAGAAAATCAACCCACACAGATCAAATACTCAATTACATTAGCAACAATCCAATAACACACAAAAGGAGTTGCATTCAAACACTATTCAAGAGGGCCAGGACTCATTGCAGCACTCCCACCTTAAGGAAAATTGAAGAAAGATATCTCATGCATGTCTTCCAAAAGAATGGATACCCACGGAATTTCATTAAAAGACATATATCCCCAAGCCAACCTACCAAATCAAGGCCTCCAAGGAAAGTATAAGGAAAATCGCCCTAACATATAGAAAAGACACTTCAGAGATTACTGCAAGACTCTTCAAACCAACAAAATCACTTCACTCATCTCTGTGTCAACCAAAAGACTCAACAACGAAAGAAGATAAAACCACTATAATCTACGAAATAAGTTGCCATGACTGAAAAAAAAATTACATGGTCCAAAGTGGATGTCCCCTTCGTCTTCGTATCCATAATCATAAACTAGCCGTCAAAAAACATGACATCCACTCCTTCAAATGGCTGCATACAGATAACCACGGACATCAATTAGACTGGGATAAGGTTCAAACATTAGACAGAGGAAACACCAAGAATGCTAGAGAATTTTTAGAAGCCTGGTATCCTAGTGAATTGTCAATCAATAGACACGTTGAGATAGACGAAATTTACTAACCGATAAGAAGGAAATCTCACACACAAAGGGTCAAAGTTCAAGTCAAGTAAACAATCAGTTCCAATACAAGTAGCCTAGAGGGTGTGAAAACACAAAAACAACCAATCACGTTTAAGGTCACCAGGAGAGATGACTAATAAACTCGTGGAGAAATCTAAAAGCTCGCTTCAAATTGAAGCATCGCAAATAAACCATGCAGTTCAGATAACACAACTACAACAAAGTCCTCCACCTGTGGTACAAATCTCCGTCATATCTAAAACACAGGAATTCACCAGACGAAGTAAGCTATATACTCGAGAAAAACAGTTAGTTAAAAGACAACCAGATCAATAATTCAATGTTAAATTTGCTCAAATAAAGAAAAGATTTTCCTTATGACTATTGGAAAATTCAAATTAGTACACCGTTTAAACAAGTCATGAATATTGTCTGTCAGTCCCTCATTAATCTACAGCAGTGACAAGTGTTCAGTTCAACAAATAAGACAAACTTCCTGCCCTACTATGAGCACAAGTGTTGAAGGGCAGTGTTACTTAAGTAGAGAACATTAGGGTATCTACTCACACAGAGAACCACTTTGTTTCGCCAGAATTTAAACAAACCAACACCTTTATAAAATGTTATATGCGGGTAAAGAAACTTTAATCGCCTATATTTGAAATAAATGATATGACAATAAATTCAACATTTAACCATAAAGGGAAGTAGTGTTGCTTCCTTGACTTATCAATACTAGCGAGTTCCATGTGTTAGTTAAGGAAATTAAAATAACAAACGAAATAATAGAAATAGCAGCAAAAAAGAAGTAACATACTGTGATAGCGAAACAGGGGTGCGATAACTCGACAGAACGGAATTAATAATACAAGCGGCACTTGACATGTAAGAAACTGTATTAGTATAACCTCCAACAATGGTAACAAACGCAGTAATAAATGACCATAGAATACTGGTAAGTGAGGTGGTCTGTCCATATCCTCCACTGAATCTCTATAATCATTATCACCTGAGAGTACTGTGCAGAGTTTGGGATGGGTAATCCACTGATCAGGAATAATTTCATGCAGAGTCAGAACACATGAGAACCAGTCCCGACTAGACAATGGATCAGGATGAGGTGACTTCCGCTGAACCATAGAGTCATTAGAAGGCGAAGGCTAAAAAAAGAACAAAGCTTTTTAAAACCCCGATGAAATTAAAACAGCATATTGACGCCCATGAAATATAGCAAAACAATCATTACATAAAATTCTATTACAATTCAAATATTGAGTAAATTTCTTCCATAAAGTCTCACAGTGCTATACAGTTCCGTTTACTGATGACGTTTCGAGCACAATTTATTGCTCATAATCATATCACGGTAATCACACAACTCTCCAAATTTGTTTATATACACATGAGTGACAGATTCACTAGACAATATGAATGAATGAATAATTAAAGTCAATATGAAGTTCAATCGACATGCATGAAACAGGTCATAAGAAGACAACGTAAATTCGCAAATAAGATGAGTGTTATCGATACAATAAAAGACGATGGGGAAAGAAAACGAGTGTTGTCAGTCAGTAATTTGTTACTCGCGTTTACAAATGAAGTTGGAAAGTTGTATGAGTGCCATGGTATGATCATAGGCAATAAATTGTGCTCGAAACTTCATGAGTAATTAAACTGTATAACACAGTGAGAGTTTATTGAAAAGAATGTACTGTGTGATACAAGTATCCTCTACCACTGTTCTTTTTTGATATAAGTATAAAACTTGGGAACTGTGGTAGAGTATAACTCCATTATGGATATTTTATTTTGATAAATCACACAGTGTTGTACAGTAATATTAACTGATGACGTTTCGAGCACAAATTATTGCTCATAATCATATCAAGTTACACAACTTTTTCCTTCATTTATATATATGTATGGAATTGACTAGATATTTGAATAAAAATCAATATGAGTGTTATTGATCAAATACAATTAGATGGGAAATAAGACGAATGTTCTTATAGTTATAATAAGTAATTTGTTAGAATGTTGTGATTTGCTTGAATTGAAATAGAATTTTGAGATTATTTATTATCCTCTTCTGATTTGACTGGTGGTAATAATATGAGTGTTGTTGATCAATTATTTTGTACGAGAAATTAGAGTAATGAAATAAATTATGAACATAATGAATACGTTATCCAGTAATCAAGCGTAGTCGAGTTTGTTTTTTATTTCGATTGAAATATCACATTTACTTGTTAAACATTTTGGTAGTACCATAGATACGCAGGCGAAGAAAGAAAACATGAAGGAATGTGAAGTTCAGTCAACACAAGTAAGTTGAGTCTGTGCTTCATGAGAATAACACTGATCTCTTCGTAAGTTAGATTTGCGTTATTTATTGATCCAAAAGATTGTCGCATGTTTACATGGTAAAGTCTTTCAGAAGAAAGAAATTCAGTGAGATAACTAACTGGTTAACATACATGGTAGGCTAGGAGTCTGTAAAATGATTGGTTAGCATAAAGTGCGAACGACTCTTGACTATAGTGCTTACACTCTAGTCTCAGTCTTATCAAATGTTACTATTATTATTATTATATTATTATTATAATTACTACTATTACGACTAATTTTACAATTTATATTCACCATCTTATTACCCTATAGACAAAACACCATGATTGGTTTATATTTGAATTTTTATTTGTAAACTTATATATATATTAGAGTTAAGCCTGATTAGATCTAATTGAAAACAATATTGTTCGCTTAAATGTGCTGTTCTAAATGTAAAGGTCACATTGAGTGTGTTCCTACAACTACTTAGTTATACAATTTGCAGAAAACCCAAGAACATGAAGGTGAAGTAAGCAGATGCAAAAATCAGACATCGTTAGTATCCGGAAATAATTATTTGTCTTGACTTTTTAGAATATTTCATGTTCCTTAGTGAAGTGATAATCAATCCAAAAACACAGCAGAGTAGTGGAGGTGAACAATTTTAAAATCAGTTTAAGTGATTAATATTGTGTTATTTTAGTCAACGAACATACAAACAATACTTCTGGTTATGCTTACTTTATGTTATATTTATTACAGTTTGAATTTATGGATATTTAAGTGCCAGTCTACACCGTTCAGTTTAGCATTGCCAGTTTACAGAACTCACCAAACATTACGAATTTATTCACACTTGTGGAAATTATAAACAGATCCAATACTAATCACACTGCTTCCCAAGATGAGAAAACGCATACCACTTATATACTGGCAACAACAGCGAATACAAAAAGGTCTTTTCCTTGACAAAAAATGAAGCAAAAGTTTATATAATCTAATGTGAAACGACGACGAAAAAAAATGAAACTAACTTCAAATTTTGTACTCAAATAATTTATCCCAGTAATGAGTTGTTCAGATTGTGTAAACAGATAAATAACGATACGATTTACAGCATCAAGTTGTGAATATTGATACCTTGTGTGCATCAGCTGTTTAAAATCAAATGCAAAAATGACCAAGAAATCAGAAGATACCTATTCCAGCTACATAGGTATCTATCAGATATAAAAATTCGTTTTGTACTATATATATATATATATATATATATATATATATATATATCAAGCACAAAACAAGGTAAATAGGATTGTGAACAAATTTTTAGATTCGTGAATGGTATGGTTTCAAGACTGAACTCCAAATTAGTGACACTTAACAAAAACTCAGTCATTCTAAGCTGCATAGACTACACAGGTTATGAGAGACACTTTGGAAAGGAAAATGTCACTCAGTAATGGCGAAGCAACATTTCTGTTACATTTGACTTTTGAGCGATTTAGGTGAAAATCATACACTATGCAATTATGCATACAATAACTTCAAGTTGGTTAATCATGAATATAACTTAAAAAACTACAAGGCAGAGGGTAAAAATGAAATCGAAGTACAACCTTAACTAATTATTATCTTAAAACGAATCGATATCCATAACCTTATATAACATACAAGATTAAGTGAAAATATACCAAAATTAATTCACATACACAAAAACAAAGAACTTCAAATAGATAGAAGACCCAGCTTAACTAAGTTTGAAAGTCTGGAGATTTGACTTTTCGACTTGAACAAGTGACTTTTCAACCATTGGGTTTCACAATCGAAACCTTCTCCACCTACTTCAGTCTGAACAACTTCATAGTATCATCAGTGCTAACAGAGGGTGGTTCATAACCTGCCATGTGGAAAATCGGTCCCAGCTAAGTGACAGATTGGTAAGGAAAAGCACCGAAAACGGCAGAGTACATTATTTACCACTATTTATGTATCAGACAAATATTAAACAACACACTTAACATTAAGAAAACAGAAATTGTAGCACAAATAATGCATCACAATAGCCAACTTCAATACTACAAGAAATACACAGGTAAACTTAAAAAGGTATGCATAAAAAATTTAAGGAAACTAACCAAAAATAAAAGGAAACGATCCAAGGGAACAACATGCCAACGTATACAAAAGTCAGATAATGTAGAAAGACACTAAAAGTTTAAAAATTCAGAACAAATATTTAAAAAATATGCGTAAACACATATTACATGTAAAACAAAATCGACTTGATATTTATTAATTCTGAAATGCAAAAATCAACTAGTCTTTGAAACTAAAATGAACAGGTGGACAAATGAATACCTGTCACAGTCGCCTATAATGTACATTAAAAAAATCGACACCATCTGCTTAAATGCATTAAGAATGAAACAAGTCGTTTGAAATAATAGAGAAGATTTGTAGCTCAGGCGGATGATATCGAATTAGTTGTGTTCTCTGAGGTGCTTGATTTAATTGTGAAGCTCATTTAAATTTAAATGATTTCATATTATACTAAAACCTGCACTGAATGTGTTGTCTAGCAGGACGATAAAAGCTTCACAATTAAATCAACACAATTAATTCGAATGGACACTAGTAACTAGTGTGATGTCTCTAGTCCTTCGTTTGGTGCAGACTAAATTCTATTAGTCAGGTTTGCAATGTGGCCACCATTCTAGGTAGCTCGCCAATCAAAGTATCCAATGCAGTCCCACAGGAGGTTAATCACTAGCCCGATTAGTGGTAACGTTTCTGACTGCAGTACTGGATGACGCGGGTTCAAGTCTCAGAAGGGAAATGAGTTCCTTCAAGGTTGCAGATACGCCTTGCTCACTTGTGAGTGTCAACTGGCACGAAGCCTAAGTCCAAGACCTCCTGCCGATTGCCTCCAACCATTGAACATCAGCGATAGAAGTCTTTCTCAATATTACCTTATATTTAGTGAAACGACCATTTTACTCAGAAAACTATCTATTGTATCCTCTCCAGTCACTCTTCACATAATGCTTGTGAAAATTTATAAAATATATGAGAAAGTAGATGAACAGTGTGGAAGTGCTGTAATCGAAAATTTCCAAATGAGTTATCAATCAACAATAGATATTTGTTCACATATTATTTTCTTTAAAAGAGAACAAACGAAAAACATTTTAATGTGCAATAATAATAATAACTAACCTTTTCACTAGTGAAATTAACTTGTGCAGTAAATGTCAAACAAGCTACGACATAATCGCAAAGCATTCGTAGCTGCCGACTTAAAAATTTTGTAGACAGACGATTGATGAGACTAAACGGATATAAGGAAGGAAGAAGGGAACACTGTTTGTTAGCTTCTCTTCGAGAAAGGAATATGCTCTTTGAAGTACCCAGTAAAGGTGAGAGATATACGAAGACAACTCAATAGATTTGTAAATATCGATAGGATTTCTCACAATTTTATTGTGTAATACATACCGAAATTAAAAGACATACAGCAATATGCTGACAACAAACAGACGCGATTGGATTCAAACGGGTCACTCCCCGATTCAAAAATGAAATGAGAGTTTTGTTGAATGCATGCATTTGGCGTTTTATGTATCTATTCAGATACATTAGTCAGGTACAGTCAACAGTAGTTTTGATAAAATAACAAAATCAACTAGCTGAACTCAGCAGACAGAGCACTGAACTAGAGGGATTCGGAGGCCAATTGTTCGCATTCTACCATGAATACCAAGTTTTCCTTTTATCTTCAATCATTGCATCACAATAGCAGCCTACCAAAACTATTTCGGATAGCCTCACAATGAATTCATGCATTTGTCAGTGTAAAATAAAAACGAACACATTGTTTGAATAAAGCTAACACTAGACAGATACTGGCTTCAGCGACCGATATCACTCCACCCAGAAACTTCCGGAATAACAATAACTTAATAATCCTAATAAGAGGAAAATATTGGTGAAGAATTACTACAACCAATTGAGTAACTTGTCAACAAACTAACCTGGCAGCTTTGCCCGGTACACTCTGATGCTCCATAAAGTATCGAAACAGCAAACTAGACATAACAAAGAAAAGAAAATCAGAGGAAGACAAGAGATAAAGTCTTAAATCACAATTATTGAATATTACAATCACACGCTTAAAACTAGTAATTAAATCTTATAGTTACCAAGATGCCTGTATGTAGTTTAAAATTTTAGACAATTCCTTTACTTTTTTTCTGTTGCTAATTCACAAAAATGTAAAATCAAATCTAGAGAAAACTCTTATAATTATTGTTATAAGAAGCAAAAGTACTCTACTTTTGATGAGAAAACATCTCGAGTGTTCACTTACAGTATTCGTATACCGTTTGGTATGATAAAAACACAACAAAACCTGAGTGAGTTCGTTCATACCACTGCTTAATATATACACCAGACCTGATTGCTAAGGATTTAGAATAAGTCAATCAGTAAGCGCTTACGAATATAATTTCTTGACATCGGTAGAGAGAAATAAATATAATGTTCTAAATCAACTATAATTCAGAAACAAACAAAGGTAACTATATTGTTGGGTGCGATGAATTTCAGTGGCATAAGCTGTAGTTATGAGTCAAATTTTTTATACATCAGCTTCTCGGGTACACACTTTTTCGAATGACTCGGTTAAAAGGCTGATATAAGTTTGAGGTACTGTTTACATTCGAAGTCTAACATTCATCTATAACGTAAATAAAGATAGAAAGTATTGTTTTTGAAAAGAAATCGACATGTTTATTTTGTTACTGTTGCCTTGGGAAAACAGAAGTATACTGAATTAAACACCGACTCACATGAGTTTCGAACTTAGTGCAGATCCTATTTACGCAACGTGATTAAGGTGATTTCGGCAGTATCAGTATTACTAAGGCATATTGGCTCTACTTTCATTGTTGACTAGACAATAATTCAGTCATATAATACTCTGCACATAAACTGTACGCATAAAAATACTGAAAACCCAATCGTACGGTCACTCACAAACTATTACGATGAGTCCCATAGACGATAGAGTCAACTGACTTAGTAATCACAGAAAATATTCCATGTATTCGAAGGAATTACAAATAAAGTAACCAAATACGATTTCTACATCAAGCAATCGATTACGCATCGTGGTTAAATAGGACAGAAACCTTGGCTTTAGTGAAGTTTTCACGGAAAGCTAAGACATAGCATAATGATGCAATGCAACCTATAATAGTTCTATACATCCTAGCTACCAAATGAGAGAAAAATTCGAAAACTATTAGAAACTAATAAGTATTGATATTACTGCCTCCCTTCAGAATAATTGACTGAACAATACAACTGCTTACTGTCATAACACCGTTGCACTTAAACATGCTGAACCAGACAGTCTAAGAGTGCTTAAAGATATACTTCATAATAAATTGTGTAAAATCTAAACAATCCAGAAACTCACCATAGGAATATATTACCACGGTTAATTGCATTACTCCAGTCCATGTTATTATCTAACCGATCAAAGAAAAATGAAAAACACTGTAGTGTGACTGGCAACTACTTCCTGATATTTTTCATGCAAACACGTCTCATGTTGTTTCATCCTCTGCAAATGCATTCTAAGCCAATGCGAACAAAGTCAAAATATGAATAAACTAACAATAAGATATTTACCAAAGATGGCAAGTAAAATCCGAAACATAAACGATAATGAGAGCTTTAAGGAATAAAAAGAATGATAATCTTTGTGATAGTATCTGCAGTTCGTTTGTATAAGCATTTGTATAAGTCAACTACGACATCACAGACTGAAAGTCCATTCATTCCATCGACTTCGGTCTTTGGAAAATAAAATAAAACGATAAGCCCTTATGCAGTAGGCGAGGACTCACAGATTAATGCAGTTCCATTGACTTCTTAGTCGGTGTTGAAAGTAACATAGAGGGAAACAAAATCTCAGGCAGTGAAAAAGTTATCAAATTCTACTCAAAAACTATGTACGCTGTGGACAGTACACATATCTTAAAACATCGCTTTCCATTTTGTCAACTTAGTGCCAATGAGAAACAGAAGACAGTAAACAAAAAAGTGAATAAAACTCTTCTTATGTAGACGGCAACTAATTCATTGCTTAAATGCAATATGAATTGAAAACATTAAATACTTCAATCGTTATTCCATAAGAACTATGAGATAATCAGAGGAGCTAAATATTTATTGGCAATTCAGTATAATACGCATGCATACTTTATCCTACTGAGGCATTTTTATAATCCACACCACAAAAATTATGAAACAGTATGACTCATTCAACATTTTCCTACGAGAAAATGTTTTTTTATAGGGAAACTAAGATTTGACAATCATGACAAAAATGAAATTTGTCTCTAACTTCCTAATTACTGAACTGAGTGCAAACATCTTTTGTATTCCTTTGCGTTCCCAGTGTGACATAAGGCTCCAAGCTAGGGCTCTGAATTTTCGGTAGTAATGATTAAATTTTTTTACGGGGTTTGATTGCTGGTCTCACGCCAAAACCTTCTCTCTTTGCCAGGCTTATTACCAGCTAAGCAAGGTTTAGGAGTGTGTTGGCGGGGGGTCGAACCCGGACCACGTCAGTAGCTGGTAAGCGTTCTACCTCTGTGCCACCGGTGCACTGACTGCAGATATCTTCGGAAGTAATTTTATCGTGCAATTTACACATCTAGAAATGTTTTGATATTTTATTATGGAACAATACTCCTTTACCATATAAAACAAGTATTAAAGAATGAACATATACATACTCATACATTATTCACGAAGTGTTTTATTAACCAAAAGACAATTTACATAACAGATGAAACTACAGAAAAACAAATGAATTGTGGAAAACCAATAAATGCAGGTGTCAGACGACCAATTGCGTCTATAACCAAACATCTAATCGAGATGAACCATAAGATTGATGTTAACTCGGCCTTTAAGGTCAACTATGAAAACGGTCAAGGGCACTTAGTGAAACACGCTGAGGCTATAGCTATTCACAAACTTAAGCCCTCCCTGTGTATTCAAAAACAGTTTATTATTACTCTCAACCTACCTTGGTAATCCTTATTTGATTGGATTACCAAACGTTGTGTTAATCATTCTTAAATCCTTTTTTTGTCACTTTGTGTAATTTAATTGCCCTTAATTTTTTCATATATATCGACTTGACAAGTAAATGTGTGATCAGATTGTTCGAAATGTATAGTAAAAATACATCACATTTTTCAGATAATCTCCACTTTCTTATAACACTATTTGTTTTAAATATTATTACTATTATTTGATCCACCAAATCACCGTCATTGGTTAAAATTTTTATAGATAAATCTATGTAAATTAGAGTAAAGCCTGAAGAAGACCTATATATATTATATGTCTTGTTCTAATAATAATAATGGGAATATTTAAAGATTTGAAATAAAATATAATACGATTTGGAGAGAGAAATCGAGAGACATCGAAGTATGCGCTGAAGATGTTGCTCAGTAGAGCAATGAAAGCTTCGCAACCAAACCATCCATCTCAGAGAACACAACCACACCAAAATCATCCACCTGAGCTACAAATCTTCTCTATTATATCTGATTACTGAATCCTTCTTCATCAAGTCTTCCACCCAACGCATGCAATTAAAGTGATTCAACGCAAATGCCAGAGATATGGAAGATATTATTACCAGTCAAATCAGAGGATAGTAAATAATGTTAAAATCTATTTCAATTTGCATTATGACACTCTAACAAGTTATTTATTTTACTGGAAGAATACATATTTCCCACATTATACACTAACAACATTCGTTTTCATTCCCATCTTATCGTATTTTATTGACTACACTAATATTGTCTCCGAACTTACTTTATCTTCCTTTCTATTTCACGCATGTCTTTTGTTGATTTTATTCATATGTCTAGTCAATTTATAATCATGTATGTATAAATAAACGAAGCAAAACAGTTGTGTGAATACCTCGATATGATTATGAGTGGTAATAGATTGTGTTCGATACATCATCAGTAAATATTACTGTATAAAACTGTGTGACTTTATCAAAATAAAATTTTATCCATAATAGAATAATAATATTTAGATCATATTCATGTATAACTAGAACTCCACTCTCCGAAATTTTGAGCATATCAGATACGGTAAAAGTATACAAACCTGATGGACTGAAGTACCCTCTTACATGACACTTCTCATTACCTTGAACAGATAAGTAAATAAAAAAAAATGTAACTTACTGCAAAAATACATATACTCCTCTTGTAGCATTGAGCAAAGCTTAGACAAACTGGTAGACTTATCTGTATACGGTAGACTTGATTCCATAGATTCAGTATTGGCGGAATCTGATAGCGGATGAGTGCTATTACTAAATTCGCCACCCGTTGGATTGGTTAGCTGACGTATAACAAGAATTAGAAAGTCAGGCAAACGACTTGTAATTATTTGTGGCAAATCAACTAGACTACTTGCTCCGCACTGTTCGCACATTGAACGGACTTGTTCAACTAGGTTCGGACGAATTCCACTGACTTCTTCTAAATCTAATTTTTTTTTAAATGAAAAGGCTGAGTAAAGATATATACTGTACAATATAAAGTAAAAAGGGAGAGATTTATACAAATTTAATAGAAAATCTACTACGTCTATTGCATACCATCTGAGTTATGGGACTCCGATTTCTTTTAAAAACGTAACATTACATTAAAATAGTTTCTGCGTCTAGCTAGATAAATGAATTCAAGCATGATGTGCAGTCAGTTTCCAGATACGGGTGCAATAACTTTTCAACCTAAGCAAAGTAAATCTACGGGAACTTCATGGAATACAGACAGTAAGGATATACTGAACCACAATTTACCTCTACTATTGTATTACTACGATTACTACTACAGTAAAATGCGTGAAAGTAAACACCCTAATGTACTTGAAATGTAGCTCACCTAAATCATGCAGTGTTCAAATTATTAATAAGACATGTGTAAATTTTTCAAGGTGCGTTGGTGGTACAGCGGCTAGGTTGCTCATCGACCATGTACATGGTCCGGGGTCCGGCCGACGCACACCTTTACCTCACTAAGCCAGTATTAACTGGAGAAGAGGAAAGGTTGGGCATGAGGCTAGCAACCCCATCCTGTAAAAATAAACAATGCTACAGAAACCTCAAACCACTAGCTTGAAGCCCTATGTTCCAGTGGGAACGTGAAGGAATAAAAAAATAAATAAACCTTTCAAGTCATTTACGGTGAAAGGTGGTATCATTATTTTTTGAGCAAACCAAAACTCAGGCCTTAAAATCTACGGGTATACTAAGTGGTCCAGCTTGAACACTGTGGTAGTACCTATGATATTATATACTGAAAGGAATTTCAACAACTTGATCACTTGATAGGTGAAGTTTTAAACCAATGTTCAGTGAACTACAGAAAACGATTTTCTGTTCTCTGCCTACCTTTCCAAAGAATACTAACTTAAAGATTTTTGGATTCATAACCAAACAATAATGTTTCGATTACTGACAAAACATTCTCCAAACTGACTTACCGAAAGTGTGATACATTTGTAGTAGAGAAAATAGTATAAAACGATCTACTTCAACATTGTCATACATTAAAAACGGATATCCAGGTATTGAATTCGGAAAAGCAGAATTTCCTGAGCCACTAGCCAGTGAATTTACACCTGAGTTTGAAGAAATCATCGTATCGTTTGTTGGTTGTACAATACTGGCAGATGAAATAGAATTCATGCTCGAATTTAATGGTAATAAAGTTCTACCTAATGGAATAGAAACACTGGCACCACCACTACCACTTGTGTTAGTTAGTAAAGAAGTCCCTGGTTGTAATGTTACATTCAATGGTTGTTGCTGCGAAATACAAACTGGATTACTGACTGAATGCAAAGTGTTACATCCTGGTTGCGTTTGTGAAAGTGTTGGAGAGGTAAGAGCTGAACAGAAACCATAGATGACACAATCTGGTGCTTGTATACTGCGTGCAAATTTTAAAATACTCCAGTCAAGCCTAAATTAAATGGAAAAGAAAAGCATGATCACATGCTGAAGTACAACTATATACGAACAAAAAGGCAAGCATGTACAAAAAAAATGAAGTGTCCTTGTTGGTGACTTATTGAGTGGAGGTGAACACACTGGTCACTGATAATCACATAAGCATCCTCATAACTGTCCGACTGATACTTGTAAAAGATATGCCAAATAGGAATATAGCTAAGCCACAAATAACTGCTGAATAGATATCAATATAAATGGAAATAGGAAGGCTACAAGTGAATAAATCTAACGACAGGATTCTCTTCAAGTACAGTACATAACAGAGCAAATGTTCAGTAGAAATTCAAATTCGTGAACATTAAACCGTATTTTTTCTACGAATAACTTGACAATGAAATATACTTAGTTAATGTACATTTTAAATGTTTCATACCATATATGATTTCACAAGATAATTTGGGTTAGCAGTCTTGTCCGTAATTTACTTAACGTGTTACACTCAGTGAAGATGCTTGCAAAACAAGAAACATTTACGCCAAAACAATCATTAAACAGATCTTTCTGTAACGAAACATTGTTTTATCAGTACTGTGAAGGAAAAGTTAGTAGTCATGAAGCGAAAACAGACAACTTCAGTTATCCTATAGAGAATGAAACCAAATTCAGATTCAAGGATTGAAAAGATTTGGGCTTTCACTATTATCAGAAATTTGAATTTTCCAATTAATCAATGACAAAACAGTACTACTGTTACCGACATCTCGCCAATTATTGTGATAGTTTTATTGAAGAAAACGTAAGCTATAATTTACAAAAGCTTAGCTGACATACGGTCACTTCACTGAGTTTCTTCTATATGAAGCCGGTTTACGCTGTCAAACGAGTGAAATCATTAAGTTAGCAGACAATTGAGAATAGTAGGCGAATTCTGAAAATGCATGTTTGTGCAGTGAAAAAATGCATAAGAGAGTTTGTGGTAGGAGTGTGTTGGAGATAGGTGAAGTTTTTCTTGTAATCTCATCTCTATCCATACAATTAGCATTCCACCTTATTATTTGCCGTTCCCGAACTTGGCTTGGTGAAATGCTCATTCAAGGGGATCCAATGTATTTGTGCAGCTGATGTCATAGAGAATGAAAATAAAGTACTGATGGATACTCTTGACAAAGACGGATATCTTTTAGAAATTTTAAACAGGTGTAGAAGTCAATTTAGTCCTAAAACCTGCAATCCATTCTGTCCCTTAGAAAAATGTCTTTATTAAATTGCCATACATTGGTGAAGTTAGTAGTAGGAAGTTGACACAAGGATTAAACTGGGTCATCCGCAGAACCTATTATGCAGCTCGGCTTATAACCATTCAAAAAGTCAAAATTAAGCTCCACCATAAACCTCAAAAGTGCACAAGTGATTATATGTCACATCCCACACTATTTACCAATTTATGTATGTGAACACATACATAGGGAGGAATAATCGCGCTTTGCATGTGAGGGTGGGAGAGTATATTTCGAAATGATTAGAAAGACAGATGAACTTTGGAAAATTAGTAGATGCAGGTGGTAGACTACCAACTTTGTTTATAGCCAAACATCTAATCGACATGAACCATAAGATGGATGTTAATACAGGTTTTAAGGTTATTTATAAAAAAGAGTGAATACTGTAAATTTGCTCGAAATATTACCAAAAACAAAAAACTTATCACTGTGTGTAAACTTCTGAGATATAATTATAATTTAAGTGAATATTGTAGCCTAATTTTATAGCGTGCAAGCCTATGACTAATAGTTTTCAAACGCTATTGAATTTCTCGAAGGTAGAATAAGAGCTCTATGACGTTCATTACTCCCCACCCTGATTTCTCGAAAAATTTTGAATTGTATGTTGTCACAGTTTTAAAAACTTCAGTTTATAGGCACGAGTAGATCGTGAATTATTTGCAATTTTGTCGTTTACATAAATGAGACTATTTTGTAGTGTCAGATTTTTTTTAAATACCCTTATACTGCATTTGTTGAATACTTTCCTGTTCTTTCTTACTAAGCGTGATCTTTTTCAAATGACGATTGTTGTGATCCATGATTTCAGAGCAGTGAAGTGGAATTCCTCAGACAGTTATTTATTTCAAGAATTTTAGTTTTGTTTCTTAGTTCCTTTTCCTATCAATGTGTATGCACTCCTTAAAACATTGGATACCTTTGGACCGTTGGAGTGCGAGGATTTTACATCCATGTATTTGCTAAGATATATTAAAGTAACTATTCTCGTCCTATCTATCTAAATAAACAATCTACAAAAAGACAATTCACAACAATCTGATTTTCAAGTAAATTTAGTACTAAGAGATTCACTGTTCAGTATTTCCACTAACGAGTGATGTGTTACATTCCATTACCATGAAAGTACATTCAAGGTTTGTTAGCCATATTTTCAGTTTTAGCATTTTCAGGACATTTCCTTTAAATACACTGATGAAAAGATTTGCTATCATGAATGATGCTGATAAACCCAGCGCTAATTCATCTGCCCACAGATATAAGTTCCCCTTGTAACAATAGAAGACAAGGGCCAGGTAACAGATCGTTTATTAAGGAAATCAAAGCATATTTATATATTTTCATGTACATTATTATAGTTTAGTTAAGCAAATAAACACAGTCTTCTGAATGGTTGTTTCTCACTTAAAGTTAATCTTTCATCTCTTTGTGACTGTTTCTTGAATGTCAGATCATCTATATGTTAACTGTATCCGCCTACGCAAAGTCTGCTGTGGTCGGTTTTTGAATCAGTCTTTGTTCATATTTTCTCACGACAAATATTGAGAACGTAAACATTGACGTAAATTACTGTCTACCAATTTGGCTAGTAGACAGCTCTCACCACACCCTTAAAGACAGAATTTCCCCATGGAAGTTTTACCGTACAGCCAATAAATGCATTTGTACAGTTTATTTATAACAAGACAGAACATGACTGCAGAACATATTACTATGATCAACACCGTAAAGGTACAGAGTACTTTCATTCAGTGGATGTTGTTGTACTTAGAGATTAACTACAATGCATTTCAAAAGCTTATAAAACAATTTTTGTCAGTCACTACTCAGATTGAAGATTATTCATTTGATGAACAGATACAAATCGGTAAGTGATTATTACTGCAGTAAAATTATCAACAGGCAGACGGTATGGTGTAATACGTATGATCTGTTTATGATGGTAAAGTAACTATAGGTTAAGAGGTACATACTGCTTATCATTTAATTCAAATACAGTTACATCAAGACAATTAAATAAATAATAAGCCTAATAAAACGTATCACTTGAAACCTCAGAGAAAAACAATGGACCAGGAAGAAATTTTTAAAAACCGAATTCAATCAGGTGTGCTAATGAAAATATCAAGGATAAAAACAATTAGTACTGCATACAGTAGATAAAAATGATCCGTGGAAAATGTTTATAATAATAATAATACTAACTGTTACTTACAGATAAGGTAATTCAAGAGGGATTTCACCATTCGTTCCGTCACGAATATTTTTGGATTCCTTATTGTCAAGAAACGATGAGGCATTCCAGCTTGTCCACATTTTAGATAGACTGACTAATGATGTAAGAGCATGAATACGAACTTCTGGTGTTAAGATGTCTGCTAAACGAAAGCCCATTGTATCGATCAGAGTATAAACCAGTGAGCAAACAAAGTAGTTTGAGTCCTTTTCGTTTGTGGCATTGGATGTAAATGAGCTTTTGGAATCCATATTCGTAGCATTATAAGACCATAATGGTTGCAGCTTGGTTAACAAACCTGGGAAAAAAGAATAAGGATCTCCAGTAGTGAAATCAAAATATGAAGTCAAAAGAGCGGGAAACTCTAGTGGAAAAGCTAATAACAGAACAACACCTAAACATAACTGCATTTGAGTTTAAATTGAATCTACGTAACGAAAATTCATACTGTGTCAATTTTGGACTGATAAAACTTAGGAAAAACACCAATTTAGGGCAAAAACAGTGTTTTAAAACATTTATGGGAAAACACGTTTGCTGAATATGACGTTTGGCTGATATGAAGGCGACAACAATAACTCGTAATCTAATACGGACTATCTTATCCTATACCAAAACACTCTTGCCTCGTGGGTGGCTCTGTGCTAGACTGCACGCCAACCACGCACGTGGTCCGGGAGTTCGACTCTCGCCCGATGCACTTCTAGACCTCGTTTAGCCGGTAGTAAGCCCGGTAAAAAAGTAAGATCGAGTGCGAGCCTAGCAACTTTACCCCATAAAAGACAATACCACTTCTATTGAAACTTCAGCGCTCAAGCTTGAAGCCCTATGTTCCACTCGGAAAGTAAGGGAATTAAATAATAAGAAAACTCTCATTTCTTCCTTACACCGGACTATACACTAAGTCACTAAGTTGTTCGACATATCCTAATCGGGAGTGACTAATTGACTACGACTCCATACAAGAAACCCACTGTCATTTGAACAGCATAGCAGCAAACTCTTTGACTAACCAACTGAGTGAGGTAGATTCGCATCTCTGAAGGAAAGTGAGTTTACCCAGAGTTGATGATGAGAATCGGCAAGCACAAAATTTGAGTTCAGAGCTTCTGGTTATTCGACCCATGATGATGTGGAAACGGGCCAAAAACATGTACAATAATGTGAAGAGAAGAATAAATGTGACAGTGATTAAAAATTGAAAAAAGTAAACCACCTAAATAACTTCCACAACAAAACATGCAGTTGGTACGGAAATCTACAGTTCTGGAATTCTGAAGATTTCGGGAGGAAATCGAAAACACTGAAATAGGTAACCACTAAACTATGCTATTATCTGGTTTCATCACGTTATAAACTATAATTGAACGAAAGGTGGCAACGGAAGCTATGCAAGAACTAATCAATAATGATGAAGTAGACGTCTCCTTCAAGTTCTCACCCACAAACACAAATTAGCGGTCCAAAGACATCACATTCCTTCAGGTCAATGGATGTAAACAACTACAGAAATCAGTTCAATTGAGATAATGTAAAAAATCTAAGAATAGGAAACATCAAATGTAGGAAATATCCCTAGTGTGGTGAGAGATGGTGCTGGCCAAATTGGTTGACAGTAATTGAGGTCAAAGGTCAAGATGGACAGGCGGATACAGTTAACATATAGATGAACTGACACAGCCACAAGAGATGCAAGGTTAACTTTGTGTGAGAAACAACCAATCAACAGACTGTATTTTCTACTAACATTAACCTACAATAATGTACATCGAAATCTATAAATACGTGTTGATTTTCCGTAATAAACGTTCTGTTGCCTGGCCCTTGTCTTCTGTTGTTACACTAGGCCATCAGGGGAGATGGTTTTGCCATTAATAGAGAATTTCAAAGGCATATTTTACTTCAAATTCAGCCTTGAAGGCTATGAGATCTTCTTAATTAAACCATCTCTCTCAAACAACACAATACTAAAAAAAAACAATTTGAGCTGAAATTCTTCATTATTCCAAAATATTTGATTATGCAAGTTATAATTTATTTCAAAACTATCGGCTCCTTACGGTTAGAATCGACATCAACCTATTTTGTTATAATGTCGTAGATGACTAGCTAAATTTATGAACAGTAAGAAGCAGAGAACAGGTGACAGTTAAAACGTAATACATTCGAAAATAAATCGTACTTACAGAGAATTCTGTTCACACTGTTTGATTCCACTTCACGACAAGCCAGAATTCGGCAGAATGTTTCTATGACTGCTGGTGTAGATAACATAGTGGAACTGGGAAGAACCGCAAACTTTTGTAGAAAAAAGTGTAAGACACTGAAAAATAAATAATAAGATTCTAATTGATCTGATGGCTTTTAACGGTAAGAAGTTGATTTAACAGACTTATAGAAATTATTAGTAGGTGATAAACACATTTATTACTTAGAAGATGAGCATTCTTGCCTGAGAATTCTTTAGCTGAATCACTGAATAAATGCAGTCACTTTATTACCAGACGGATAGCACAGCTGAGTATATCAGAGGCAGGATAGGGAAAGCAAGACAAACTTGATCAATGTGGAAATCTGCTGCACTCAGCATAGGAAGCAAGATACGGATCTTCAAGGCTAATGTCAAATCAGTGCTTTGATTATCTATTTCAGAGACCTAGTGCGTCACGAAAAGCACTTCCAACAGGTTGCACACTTTCATCCATAACTGCCTACACTAGATACTGAAGATCACATAGCCAAAAAGGATAAGCAACAAGAAACTCTTGTAACGAACCAACCACGAATCGATTGCCCAATAAATACGCTGCAGGAAATGGAGATGAAGTGAACATATGTTAAGGAAACCGCTGAATGACATCGTGAACTAGGCACTCGGGTAGGACCCGTATGGAAAATAACAAGTTGGGCATGAGAGGGTGACATGGAGGAGGTTGTGTAGGGAGGAAATGGAGGTGTGCTGGTGAAGCCCTATGTTCCACTCCGAAACCAAAGGAATAATAATAATGGACGAAATATTCCCATATTGAGTCATAAGAAAAAGACGTAAACAGCTAAGAAAATTTTCTTTTCGAACATTCATTTCCATAAGCTGTACAATCGTAATTACATTTAACAAAGAGATCTGCTTGGTTTTATGATTTCTTTGTGCCTCCAAAGCCTCAGGATGGTCGGGGGTGGGTGCCTTGCGCTGTGGGTTGGCCACCCTTCCGCACACCTCTCGAAATGCTCCCATATGACCAGGCGTCTTACATAGCCTCTCCTGAGGAAGTCCTATTCACTGCCTTCACGTGGCGGAGGTGTTTTCACCAAAGTGAGAGGGCAAAAGCGGATGCCCGGCGCTCTTCACCGGGTTGACTGTCCATTGGATGACAGTCTAGGGGAGATGGCTAAACCCTGATTCCAAACCTCCAACGACTGGCGTATGAAGCTCACTGGAGCTCACCGGCAGACGTATGGACAAAGGGCTTGTTGGATGTCCTGGATGTCTGGTCCCATTCAAAAAGGCGTATGAACCGAACTCCGGTCACTGGCTGCCAATGGATAGTGGACTCCCTACTCCACTCCTACTGCCTTGTAGGTCACACTTGGTTGTGTAAAGGCTAGAGCTGCACTCTCAAACAAAAGGCCGAGCGATTCTGGGGACATCACTCGTACCAAATTCCCATGAAACTTCATGAACTCTCTTACCTTGTCGCAAAAACCTGCAACAGATCGCCGCGCCTGGGCAGCGATGATTCGAGATGTTCATGAAGCCGGCTCATCCTCCCGTAGGAGATAGCCGAAGTAAAGTAAGTAAGTAAATATAATTAAGATTGTACAGCTTATGAAAATAATAATGATAATTTTGCTGGTGCTTCACATAGTATAAACAGTGCATTAACCTGAATTCCAACAGCCTAATAACAGCAGAGAAACAATCACTTCATCCTTCATTCTATCTAATCCTTAATAAAAAATAGTATCAGGTACTTTAACTGAAATGAAATACACTAGAAACAAAGGCATTATTCAGAGTGATTCTTGCAGTAAACACTTATTTCGGAATCAGTCAGATCATTTTTCCTACTTAGAAAACGTAAAGTACAACTAACGAGGTAAATATACACATACACGATACAAGTACAAACATTCAAGTGTCTCTATAAAAAATCAAAAAATTAAAACTGAACCTAACACACACTGGCTGACTAAGAATGTGGCAAGTTCAGTGGAAAACTGGAATGACTTTAGTGAAGCAATAGTCGACATTAAAGCCTAAAGAGTGGCAAAGAAGAAAGGAAAACAGTCAACTATTAAACACCTTCAAGATTGATAAACAAATCAATGGATCATTAAAATAATAGAATTTATAACGTGCATAACTATAAAAAGTGCACTTACAGCATGCGCAGGTGAACAGACATTGTGCGCATTAAATGATGAGACAGAGGATGTAAACGTCCATACGCTGATAAGTTATACGGTAAATCCACTCTCCCATTTTTGATCAACCTTGACCATAGACATCCATGTTCCGGTTTCTGTGTATCATTTTCAGATTCGTTCGTCCAAAATATGTCCACTAACCTTTGTATCAGTTGGCTAACTTCATTATCTGTGCTAACTAAAAGTAAAAAATTACTAATCACTATTATACTGAGTATTTATGGAGTATCAAAAGAACATTCTACGTTACTAAAGCAAAACAGCTCTTTCACTTAGCACTCATGATTACGCCACATAAAACCATACAAATCATATTTTAAAAAATAGGGTTTTATACAACTTACAAGCATTCAATACAACAAAAAGCTGATTCCATGTTAACTTCGATACTAAATTAATAGAAGTACTAGACATTGGAGTTGAACTAACAGATTGCACTAGTGCTTGCATACGGCGTGATATATGCGCTTCAATTGGTCGAAGTGCTGGTGGCATAACACGTGGTAAATGATCTTGACCCAATCGACTTTTACGTAAAACATGTTGCCAAAGGCATACAGGAGCAGTAACCAAGTGCAAAAGTCGGCTTTGACGCTTGTAACAAGCAGTGGAGCACCGAAAATGTGGTGGGAGTAAGGCTGTTAAAAAATATATTTTAATAAAAAGGTTAAAACTCAAGGTAATATACATGAACATACATTCATAACAACTTTTAAAATACCTTCAGGCAATAAACAAATACAAAATCCACTACACATACCTGCATTTCATTAGTGTTTTATGTTTTAAATGTTATATATATGTATATATATCTTAAGGTGGATAATTAGCGTTAAAGGTATACTTTTATTTTCAATAATGGAGCTTATTTGACCATCTGGAAGAATGTCAAATTCACTGTAAAGTTTTACACTCCTACATTAATCACTAGACGAAAAGTCGGTAAGGTATTTAAATCACAACGGTGACCAAACAACTACAATTCCACTCATCGTTGAATTTCAACAATCGTGTATGGGTTTGTGAGGTCAGATAATAATTTATATTTCCAAGAGTTGGCTTGTATGGATTAGATTTGTTTTTACGAGTTTGACCACGGACTGATATCAGTTAGAGAACCATTGAAAACCAGGGAGTAATGGACATATGTTTCATCCCTGGTTTTCAATGATTCTCTAACTGATATCAGTCCGTGGTCAGACTCGTAAAAATAACTTATATCTCACTGAAGTGAATGCACAACTGGATTAGTATACATATTCTTCCAGTGAAGGCCAAACGATATCAACATGAAGTTTGTTGCTTGATAATTTCAACTTAGTTTTAGCAATATCTACCTTATTTATACCCTGCTAAAGCTTCTGCAAAGGCGTGGGTGGCAAATAGGTAGAATGCTCGCCTATCACCGGCCGACAAACTCCTGAACCTCGCTAACCCAGTAATAAGACTGGTAATGAGGAAAGGTTGCGCATGAGACCAGCGACCCCATCCCGTAAAAATAAACACCACTGCTACCGAAACTTAAAGTCCCTAACCTGAATCCCTATGTTCTACTGGGAACGTAAAGGAATAAAACAACACTTTGCAAACTAAAAATTTCAATCAACGAGCATCTGAGACAACATAACGAACCATTGCTATTGGAAAATAAATTGTTATTACAGAATCATCAGAAACACTGCTAAACAAGATGAAAACGACTGCCACCTATAACTGCCAGAATGCATGAAATGAGCATCTATAAATCTATTGCTTTGTAAGCAAAAGCCCAAAAACGAAGAAGCGAATTTACCCACTAAAAGGTGACTATAAAATATTAACGGCTACTTTAGAACGGATACAAACACATAGCAAACTCCACCACAAAATCAAATGCACATGAGTTTTTGAAGACATTCAGCCTGAAAATGATCTTTCGAAAAGATACGTAAACTGATATACATGACTAGATGAGATTAGTAAAACTACGCAAACCTACTTTCAGTTTCATTCTGGCTGCATTCGTCATTTGAGTCCTCTGCAGAAGTGGAAGTTTGTTCTTCATTTTCACTTCCATTACCCTTACTGGTAACCAATTCATGATTTGCATCCTCTGAACTATCTATCTCCATTTTCTCTGGAACAGAGAATTGAGATGAACATGTTTCAGTGCAATCTTCTTTAACATCTTTAGGAGGTGGATTAATACACACAAACTCATCCTTTTGTAAGGAAATATTCTCCACATCCTTTGGATGATTGAGAGAATCTTTTCTACTGCAGTAAGGTAAAGGAAGGTCAATGGCGCGGTCAGGATCTTCAGCTTCCGGGAACAAAATATCGAAAAGTCGAAGGCAGGGGACAAAATCTGTTAACTAGAGAACAGAAAAACAATATGTAAAAATACATGAGTACATTTTATCTGTATCATATATGTCACTTCAAAATCCTACTCCGTTTCGTTAAGCATCAGAAGATTTTACATCAACAACTATCACACAGAATAAGGACAGTGGACTTAAGAAATAATTCAGAAAAAGACTAGGCATCTAGAGTTAAATAGAGGCTAGACCCCGGGATGAGGCTCATTGACTTAAGCACTCTACTTTCAGATGGTGTCCTGGATTCCATTCCCACCCCGCCTACTTCAGCAACTTGGATAGTATCATTGGCCTGCACACAATAATTTTGTGGCACATATAGTGGTACATGAAAGATGAGTTGGGGAAACTAAATTCAAACAAAACATTCTCGAGATGACTTTGAGTGATAAAAAAACCCTCTGATATCAGCTTCTCCTCCTACACACTTTCCATCTAACCACATTAACATTTCAGGGGACAATTGAGGAACCATTCCACTGTAACCTAATCATAACGGGAATTAAGCAAATATTCCTGCCAACCAGTGTAAATAAATTAACTATTAGCTTAAAGATAATCAGCAGACAGTACTAAGTTTAGTGAGAGGTCTTAATCCTAAACATTTCTTAAAATATTGAACGATTTTATTGAACTTCAGTTCGACTGAACGCATTATACACAAACTTCGTAAACCAGCTTCTGGTGTTACCTAAATGACAACATAGTAATCCACTCACCATATTTTTTCCAATGAATCCAGAAGTGGCATTCAGCACAAACCACATTACGTAATGGCTTGATTTCGTCCACGTCCGACCCTCCAACTGGGAAGAAAAATAGATGGGGTTTATAATAAGGTAATCGCATCTAAAGATTTGCAAATTGAAGCGAGTGACTACTGATTTCTTTTGGGGAAATAATCGAATAAGATAACCGGCAATTATTGATAGAATAGGAGAAACAATTTAAACATCATGTTAATTCTGTATACAGATCGTTTTTTAAACATTTAGTTAGAAAATATATTTAAGAGTTATGTTTTCTACAAAACATGTTCGGAATAAATAAAAGTGCTAGTGGGTGTCTAAATGGGAGTCCATGAACTGGTTGTAAAAACCATTTTATGAGTAATGATATCTTAATAGGTATAACCTCACATATACCCAAAAACCACAAATTTATGAATTCATAACTGGGATCTGGATGTTGAAACCAAAATGGTGCTACTTTCCTCTTTGACACAAATCACATTTTACTGATGATAATACATTGTGATTTTTCCTCTGCATGAGGTTGACTTTATTCGAAAATATGAGGTTCGTTAGATTAGAAAACTGTAGAAAGAAATATGGAATGCCTCAAATCACCATATGCTTATGCACAACAATCCCCTGAATAGAGCACTAAAGATCATTAATGGTCATACGCCTTTACTAATAAGAATATTTTCACTACTCTAAAACAGTCCAATAATTCAGCTTTATAGTGACTTCGCTATTTCACTAGGCACCCAGAACCTCAACTAGGATACTGCATCCTTAAGTGATGAATACGCAAAGTTTCGCTTACCTTTGTATTGAGCTTAACGACAATTTCGTTAAATCGGACAGTACTATTAAGCATGAAGGTAATCATTACACTAATCAAATGTTCAAACATTGTACGATTCCATTTCTCATCATTTGTGCTTTCCAAAAGCTCCATAACCTGGACAATTAGTTCGACTAAAGCAAGTTCCAAACCCATAGAACGAGTTTTCTTCCATAGCAGAAATTATAGAAGTAGCGTTGAAGGAAATATAGACAAGTTAAAAAAATGTAAGTTCATATTATAATTCTGTCAATCAATTGTATAAGAAGAACAAATTCTCGTTAATTATGTATTTGGTGGTGGGTCTCAGTAAAATCATTAGGGATTATCACATTGATTTTTCTATAAAGATGTGGGTCCGAATCTCGCCTCACCTACCGCAGAGTGGACAACATACATAATCGGACTCTAACTGCCTCGTTTCATGGGTGTGTCTGCATCACAATGGAAGCTGATATTTTCAACACACCCAAGGCTTATAGACAGTCAACTCAAACTCTAGTTAGCTATTCACTGCTAGTAACTACATTAACCATAATTCACACAATTTAACAACAGGAAGGATAGAAAATCATAACGACAAACTGGTTCACTATCGATTTGAATAGCCTTTAACTTAGATGGTATTAAGCTGTTGGAGTAAGGCGCACAGACTAATAAGAAATGAATACACTGTTGCCCCCACTGCAAGATGTTTGGGGATTTAGTGCAGTAAGAGTACCTTCGTTTTGCAGCTTCACCTCGGCCATTCATTATGACATGAATCGTACAAAGTGTCTTTCAAATGCTCTTAAATGTATGCAATCTGAATGGTAATTTTTGCAAACAATTTACAGTTTTTTTCAGCAGTTCATGCAATGAGTTGGTGAGATTAATAAGGAAAGTCTGGATCAGTATGAATCAAAACCAACTAGTGGTATGAGTTTCCAAAATCTTTAATTATGAGAAGTAAAAGTTGACTCAAACTTCTTTCACAAAAAGAAGTCAAATAATAAAATTGTTTGTAATAAAAATCATTTGTATTACAAAATAAGCACTGAAATTTCATGAAATAGGAAAAACTTACAACTTTTCCACTTGCTGAGTCAAGCATACCGGTTACGAGCTCGAAACTACGTAATTGACCCAAAACTGTGCACAGAAGGGGTAGTTGGGAGCTGGTAAGGAAGTCTGGATAGCGCATGGCTCCCTTAATGGATGTGAGAACGAGATTAGACGAGTCTAGTTTGTAACTTGGAGCACTTAGAGATGTAATGCCGCAGAAAGGAGTCATGGCATTGTAAACTAAAAGGATAAAAGCGATCAATGTTGAAAATGGGTAGAACTTATTTAAAAGCATCTAAAAGAAACTTTGGGTTACCGAATATCGCATTTTTCAATTTTTAAATATACACGTTACATAGTTCTCACATTTTCAGAAACAAATCTGACACTATTTTTATTCTTAAAGGTGACATTTTACTATTTCAGATTTTACCATCTGGCTATTGTCTTGCTTTTACCTCCTATCAGTTCACCGGACTTTTATACAACAGTCATGATTTATGCCATACATACATACTACGCCTTGACTAAAAGGAACAAAACCACCACTTTTAACACTGAACACATCAAAAAAGGACTCCTAACCCTTCGAGGATGAATGAAAAACCAAATCAAGTGAACCAAGATCACGAAGGAATAAACGTTACGTTACACCAAAACTACATTAATCCATCGACATATATATATATATATATATATATATTATGTGACTAGGCGGTAACCATAGAAGTATCAAACTTGGGCACTGTGGTAGAGTGCTGTTATAATCATAATAAGTTACTTGTTAGAATGTTGTAATGTACTTGAATTGAAATAGAATTTTGAGATTATTTACTACCCCCTTCCATATTTCTGGAGTTTGTATTGAGTCATTTCTGTTGCATGTGTTGTGTTGTGCGTAGACTCGATGAACCAGGATTCCATAATCAAACTCTCTCTCCACCTACTTATTTTACTTTTTAGAATTTTAACCCCATCCCACCCTATTGTGTGGTTGTGTGTTAATGCGTGAAGTGCAATCACTGAGCTTTTTTCTAAATTATTCATCTTCTCGAGGTCAACCATTCTTCCCTTAGCTAAATTGTTATGTTCTGACAATCTGACTACCCCCGACCTACTAGTATGACCTATATGGTTGACCTCACAGTCATTGCAAGTTATTTTGTAAATTATATTATTTTGTCTAATTGGGTCAACAGGGTCCTTTAACCTACAGAGCTTGTCTCTGAGTGAGTTTGTAGGTTTGAATGCCACCCTAATTCCTGGTTTATTGAGAATCCTACGTAGGGTCTCAGATATCCCCTCCTTGTATGGTATTACAGTGGATAACTTATCTTCTCTCTTATATATGTTATCATTACCAGTTTGACAATTATTTTTACTTCGTTTTTGGCCTTTACTGATCTTCCTAATGAATTTTATAGGATAGTTATTCAACATCAACGCTTCTTCTCTCTGTTTTATTTCATCGTTTAGGCCTTTTCTTGTGCTACTTAGTGCTATGGCTCGGTTTGTTAAACACTTAAATAAGCCTGCCTTAACAATTAACGGATGAGACGAATTAAAGTCTAAATATCTATTAGAATGCGTTGGTTTTCTATAAACACTAGTGTGTAGTTTGTCTTTTTCTATTCCTTTTATCTTACAATCTAACATAGCTAATTCTCCTTGTTCATTTTCCGATTCAAATGTGAATTTAATTCCCTCTACTAGTGAGTTTATATGTGTCAAGAAGCTAGAGATATGTTCTGTTTTTAATACTGTGAATGTATCATCCACATAACTTCACCATATTTTTGGAGTAGGATTAAATGTATTGAGAGCACTATTCTCCCAGCTGTCCATAAATATATCTGCGAAGATAGGGGATATTGGTGATCCCATTGCTACACCTTCTGTTCGTCTACATATTTTGCCTTGGAATTTAAAGACAGTAGATGTTAGGCATAACTAATAATGATAATTTCTTCAATGGGCAGCTGTGTCCTTTGATTGAGTTCAGGATCCGCAGTTAGTTCTTTTTTAACTGCTTCTAAGGTCATATTGACTGATATATTAGTGTAAGGACCAGTTATATCAAAACTAGCCATTGTTTCATCATTCTCTATTCGAATGTCATTTAGTTTGTTTTTCATCTCATATGAATTAGTTAGTCTAGAGTTTGAACGATTTCCAGTGGGGCCTAATATTAGAGCTAAGTGTTTTAATAATTCATAAGTAGGGGTATTTCTGAAATCTACTATTGGTCGTATGGGGTAACCTGGCTTATGTATTTTAATAGTACCACACCATACCATTCTACTAGCATTATTAGTTTTAGGCACTAAATTAAACCATTTAGACTCACTCAGAGACGGCTTCATTCTGTGTATTAATTCTGCTGTAGATTTTTAAACCTTATTCATTATGTATATAAAGGCTTCTTAGTTTCCTCATATGGACCCGTCTGAATATGTTCAGTGACTTTTTGATATAGTCAGATTTATCCAAAACTACGGTAGATTTTCCCTTGTCAGCTTTTGCGATGACGTTTTTATTGTGTTTTAGACTAACCAGAGCTTCTCTCTTCGATTTTGTTAGGTTTGATTTTGCTGTAGCTATTTAGAGTCAGAAGGGAAACAAATTTAGGTTGCAACAAGAACCAGATTTCACCTGAAAGTACGAAAATGCCTACATTCTTTTACTATGTCTGGTCACATGCATCGGTGGCAAAAAGGCAGAATGCCCGCCGACCACACACGTGGTCTGTGGTTCGATCGCCGGCCAAAGCATTCCTGAACCTCGCTAACCCAGTAATAAGACTGGTAAAGAGGATAGGTTGGACATGAAACCAGAAACAGTATCCCGTAAAAATAAACACCACTGCTACCCGAACTTCAAGTCTCTAGCTTGAAACTCTGTGTTCCACCGGGAACGTAAAGGAATAAAGATATCTGGTTAAGCGATAAGCCTTCGGGTAACCAAAAATATGACATTTGTGTTACATAGATTGATGTTACTTTAATTAAAATCAAAGTGTTATCAGGATTTTTATCATTTGAATTCATCTGTTCCGTGATGGTGTCTATAATTTGTTAAGTGCCCAAAAATTCAAAATGCCACTCCGTATGCACAAAGAATTTCTATCGTGGATACTGAATTTGAATTTATGTGACTTTTTCGTGCGCCTAAAGGTGCAGTTGATTTACACCAAGACAATAATCTTAATATAGTTTGCCAAAACAGATCAAACCTGATTGTATATAACCTAATAAGTTTTCGACTAGGGCAATATTTCCCCTACTACAATTTGATCAGCCTGTCTTTGAAAGTAAATCCCTAATTTACCTTGGAGCTGAAGTAATTGAAAAAAAATGAAAATATGAAATAATTCCACTAGCTAAACATGGTCAAAAATATTTACCTACCCCTTGAATACAGCAAGCGTGCAGGTCTTTTGAAACTGTCCATGAATTCATTGAACTCCGCCTGAACATACTGAAGTATAATCATAAGATACATTTACATAGATATAATACCTGGGGACTGTCACTGAATTCACTGGAAAAGTTCCGAATTAGCTCATGCATAGCAAAATATGCTGGCATCAAACACATTTCTCGACACAAAAGCAGCTGTATCAACTAAGAAAAAATATATATATCCGTAAAACCCAACCTCAAGAGAAGGATCAATTGTATTGAATAAGTCCCGGTCGCAAAACATTTGCTCTGTAAATTGTGAAGACTTTTCAATGCTCTTGTTGAAAACTTCTCGATTACTCTGTATTCAATATTTAAGAAAATTCTTCTCATTTTACCTTGTAATCCAGAAAGAATATGAGCTTCAAGAGAAGCTTAAATGTGCACCTAAACAAAATTGGAGACTCTAAACGGAGATGTTCCGAGCAGACGAGTGCATGTGCGATTTCCCTAATGAATATGATAAAGATAACTGAATATACCTGGGAGAGAACAATCCTTTTTCCACAGCATAGTCTATACCCCAAAGGACTCTCATAACAATCCGTTCATGCTTAATATTCGCTAGTCTCGCAACTAAGCAATCCAAAGCTCTTAGCCTCTTGATTAATAAGAATAATAGTAGAGAATGATCTTACGGATTTCTGCTGCAAAACCTCGCCCCATATCTTCTGTAACTTGATAATATCCATGGATGCTAGACTCGTTCCGGCATCAGACATCAAGTAACCAACTGATTCTTCAATCATGACAGAAAGCTGGAAAAGTGAGTAATGAAACTTCAACTTACTGACAGCTCATGTATAAAATTATCAATAGCTATAATTGGATCCAGCATATTATAACTAACGTAAAGTTAAATATAGTCTTGTGAAAATCGTTGGCCGAGGGTTTTTAGTGACGGGTTAAACAGGTTATATCACAGATAAACAAGATCTACAAGGTAGAATAGAAAACAGCAAATAATAAGGATTTGAAAAAGAGACCAACGTCAAAAGTAATGAAAGTGCGGAGGGTACAGAACTCATAACCCTGATTTGAACACGGCTCTCAGGAGTAACAACCACCTACTTTGTTAGTGAGTAGCGCAATATCTGTAAATCCGCGTTTAGACCGGTACCAAATATCATTATGCCGTTCAATATAAGATGACAACTTGGGCACTCTCGTAGGGTATAACTTAATCATGTTCCACCAAAGAATTTTTTAACTTATGATGTAACATTGTGATCAGCTTGTGTACAACTGGTTTCTTGGAGCTCGCTCTGTGATGCGTTCGGATATAGAGTTTTGCATATTACAGCAAAGACAATTTACCTCTTTGTCTTGTGTAACTCCAACATATGGAAACAAAGTTAATTTATTGTGAACGGACTAGACATTTTTTCAAAATCAGACGTGGCTTCGGAAATCGTGGATTTCATTTTGCTAGACAATCCTCAAATTTAGCCTACATGTTTGCTATTGCGTTCCACCAGGTAACTGTGTTGCGACGACCCCAGACGACAGTGTAGTTTTAACACTGTAGCAGGTATTGTCTCAGGTGCTTCCATTCATGCATGAATTTCCACGTCAAACCTGCTTCTTCGTTAGCCCAGAAAAGATAAGTCTGGTTTGGGGCTTCATCTTCAGTGAATCAAGCACCTCGTTCAGTATTTCATCTTCCACCTTGCTGACTGCGAATGAGTTATGTATAAATACGAGACGTCCTCCACCACGCTTGCAGTCTCTATTTGCACGGTGTACATTGTAATCATCTATACCCGTATGCACATCAAGTATAGAGGATGAGCACCATGATTCAGTTATCAGAGCTACAGTAGGCTTGGCGATGAATAATAAGGTCCTTAGTTCAGATATCTTATTGATTAAGGAATGTGCATTAATTAACAATATCGTGAATAAGTCACGGGATACTACAAACTGGCTTAAGATATCACCATAATCTAATTCTTTTTGTGCGTCAGCAACGCAAGAGTTTATGAATGATTTGGCTAGGTGTCCATACATTGGGGTTAGAGTGCAGTGAGGTGGTCCTAGGTGCCATGGGTCGTCCCAGTGATTCGGGACACCTGTAAAATTTACCATGTGTTCGTGGATATGAGGATAGTAGAGGTTGGGCCTGGGTGGACGGTTAAAAGCATAGCATCAAAAGGTCTACCCATCCATGTGCTATTCGTCATTCCGGGACACTTTCGTGTTGGTATTATAACTTGAAGGAAATTGAGAGGAAAGGTGCTTTGGTTGCAAGACTTCGGGGGTTTGGGGGCCTGACTTTCTATAAGGTGGTGCATGCTGATAACCTCCAGATATACTTGTGTTTCGAGAGGAGTTTTTCGTAACAGGTGAGGGTTTGTTGACACTTTCAGCAAGATTATTGAATACAAAGTATTCTTCCCCATCATTAGTTTCAAACCTGCGAAATTTTTTCACCGTGGTGAGGTTACCACGTTTGGGTGAGAATTTCTTAGAACAGCTTGCAGCAGTTCTACCTATTTTAACATCTTTCGGTGAGACGCTATTTACAGGGATACTGGTATCTAAATCAGTTCCTAGTTCCATTGGCAAGCGTGGTTGTTGTGTGGTTTGCTGAATGCTAATGTCAGCATTAGGTGACTGTCGCTGTGCACGATCGTTTTTGGGTAATTCTAAGCTAGATTAGGTGACCAGGTTATTACTATGCATTATTCTGTACTGACATGGTGTTTTATTCTGAACTATGGTTGTAGACTTATAACTACTATTCAGCCTTAGGTGATCCTGACATTTAGTAAACTTACTAGAATCAAGGGAATTACTGAATTTAAAAATGATTGGACAATTAGTCTGGGTAGACTTTTTACGAAGTCTTTTACATTTACATGGAACACTAGCCATGCCACAACAAATCAGGATTTTGTGTTTTACAGTTTTCAGAGGCAGAGAATCTGGGATGTTGTAAACTATAACCTGGTGAGAAGAGGTTATACGCTTCATCACCTCCGCAGCCAAGCAGTCAATCAGACTTTCAGATTTGTTTAGGATGTCTGGAGACATATTAGGATGTTTTCTTAACAGGCAGGCTATTGGTTCTAAATCCGCAAGCGTGTTTTGAGTTACATCCAGTAAAGACTTAACCTGGCCAATATCAGAACGGCTCTCCGTGATATTTGAGATTGGCAGTGATATGCTATCAAACTGACCTAATTTTTCCTGAAGTTCACTTACTTGCCTCTGGATATCTTTCACAAGGAGTTTCAATTTACAGAACTCAGTTCTCTAACAGAACATCTTTCACCTGCATAAGAGGAGTGAGAATTGCACTCAAGTCATTTTGTGAGCTAGTAGTTGATACTGTATTACAGGGTGGTAATGCAGTTATTACCGAATTTGAGCCACTATCTAAAACAATCGTGTTTCTATGAACACGTTTTTTAGAGAATTGGACCATAATTTCAGGGATAACATGACAATAAGCAGTAAATGAATATCAGAGGATAGGTACTATGCTCCCAAGTGAAATAAAACTATGTCAGAAAGAGAAGAACTTCCTGGAACACTGAAAAAATGGCATAAGACATGACTAGGGCGAATGTATGACTAAAGGTACATTTCCAAAATATACATACGAGAAAGAGATGTAGAGTTCGTGGAATGATAAATTACATTTGCAGTGTATGATGCTAAACACATTGGTCTTAATAATAATAATATATTCTCACTTTGTGTACATGAGGGACACCAGTTAACAGGCATCATCACTGTGGTGAATAGTATGTACACGGATTAAGCATATTTGCAATTATTCACTTAGACAAGATATATATATATGCGAAGATGAGCGTTACAACTTAAGGCTGTATTAGCGTAATGAAAAGAAACATAAAATAAACACCATTCAATATTTTATTTTTTTATTTGTACGAAGATACTCGGTAATCAATTATCTGAGCCAAGAGATACAACCACTACAACGTCTAAACCTCAGCGAAAACCAGAAAGACTGTTAAGCTATAAGACTGGATCAACTCACATTTTATGATTGTTTCTTGTAGAATAAATGTTCTCTGCACAGCTCGTGTTCCGCTTTCATTATCTGCGTCTGCTTGTTACTGCAGGTACGGAATACCATTCACAAAAGTATAAAAATGGCTTGTAAAACGTTAGTTAGTTTACCGACAATAATGTTTTCAGTAATGTCATCTGCAAGAGGCGCATCACAGAAGTTAGTATCCAGTTAACCACGCAAACAAGGATTAACGAATTAACAGTAATCAAAAACCAGTGCATTTTCTAATTCATTTCGTCCAGGAAACAGAATAACCGCGAGCTAATCCATACAAAAAGATGAATGACGCCTGCAGGAGCGGAATATTACCGTCGAATGACTCAGTGATTTAACATGCAGTTTTCAGCACATTTTCACTCTTTCTTAGATATTTAGGTTTACTGACACTGTATGGATAGTGATCTGTTTTGTCAGCATGATCAACATATGGATGGCTACTCTAATGTGTACTGCAGCTTGTTCATCGTGCGGATTTAGTTAATTCCATTTCGTGTGGTGTTTGACTACTCTACTATTCTGATGTATTCCGCAAAGCATCGCCATGGTCATAGGAAGTATGCGTACGTCTTAAATGCATTATTTCGTGGACCTGTACCACCAATGAGTATATACTCGGTATTGAGGTGGTCTACGAATTTGAGTTGTACCAACTGGAATTGTGGGGTTATATAGTTCCTCGTCACCGCGGATAAAATATCACCGCATTCTTTTCAGAGATTGGACTAGTTAGTGAAGTATAAATAATGTCCATGAAACTCATTTCTTTCCGTGTGATATTGTCGTAACTGTCGCCTTGGTTTTACTAATATTTGATCAGTATGTCTGTTTTGTTTGACTCGTTGTACCGGTTAGACAATGTACGAAAGACTCTTATTTGTTTGAGGTCTTTTGTCATAATAATAATTTACATTTCGTATAAAACGGGTAAGTTTACGAGAAATGAATGACATCTTTACGAGCACGATCACTTATGCCATAAATTACAATTCTGGATTATCAGGAATTAATACTTCTTCAAAAGTTTCAATTATTCGATTATTGTACAAGCAATCAGAAAAGGTTCGTATAAATGTTTAATTGCAAATCCTTCACCAAGGTCAACTATTTGAGTGAAAAAACATGTGTAGTTTCTAAGCTCCTACAATGAATGGGCCTGTGATTTCTGAAGCTCTTATATGATAATTGGCAGTAATATCGCTAGCGAAATTTTTTAATGAGCCTGAAGGGACAGTTTTGACATTTTTAATCACGAGATATTTTTCTACCGAGAGTTAGCTTAGATTGAGTCTATGATGGGGAAGAATAATTTTTATTCAGTAAGACTGCTGACAGTAAGCGTGTCAACAAACCCACACTTGAAAAGAAGAAATCCTTTCAAAACACGAGTATATCTGGTGGTTTTCATCATACTCGGCCTCAAAGAAACTTATGTTCCAAAACAACCAAAGTCATGCAACCGGAGCACCTTCCCTCACAATATTCCTCTGTTTATAAAAACAACATCAAGACACGTACTGATATGCCGAATAGCAGATTGACGGGTAGGACTTACAATTCTATGCCTTTTAATCCACAACCCAGACCCAACAACTACTACCAGTACATCCAGGAACACAGTAAAATTTTTGTGTTTTGAATCACTGGTACGACCCATGGCACCTAGGACCACCTCACTGCACTCTAACCCCAATGTATGGACACCTAGCCAAATCATTCATAAACTCTTGCGTTGCTGACGCACAAAAAGAATTAGATTATGGTGATATCTTAAGCCAGTTTGTAGTACCCCGTGACTTATTCACGATATTGTTAATTAATGCACATTCGTTGATATAAGAATAAAACTTGATATGATTATGAGCAATAGTTTGTGCTCGAAACGTCATCAGTTAATATAACTGTACTACACTGTGTGATTTATCAAAATAAAATCTTATCCATTATGGAATTAATGCACACTCCTTAATCAATAAGATATCTGAACTAAGGACCTTATTATTCATCGCCAAGCCTACTGTAGCTCTGATAACTGA